TTTTGTTTTCAAGACTTCAAGTGAGATTTGGAAATGACAATTATGGGCATTCTTATCTACAACAGAAGTTAATGTGTTCTATTATTAATATCAAGATTTAAGACCTAGTCAATGGTCATTTCCGATGATAATACTAAAACCCTCTCATCATGATATAATGTAAGTTTAAAGGTAAATTTTATCAGATAAAATAATCCAATATACAGGTATAGGTGCCTCAGTTATAACTTCGAGGTCAAATTTCAAAGCCAAGGTCATCTCTAATTCAACCATTTCATCCTTTCTTTCCAATGTATGAAGTTTCTTATTTGTAATGGCGTAGCCTTTGAGTTAAGCAGACTGAGTACATGTAAAGTGCGAAACGATATTGAAACAAACTCAATCATGAAAAATCATTTGTTTGGTTTCATTTCATTTCAACTGAGTTTGTTTCGTCTCCTATTTAGTTTTGCATTCGACAGATACACAGTTTTTTTTTTTTAATTGACTTTTTTGAATTCGCACATGATTAATTAGTCATTAAACTAATTTTTTGCAGAGAAAAAAGATCATGCAAGACATTTAAATTAAAGCTCGTTGGTGCCAAATTTGCTTCCAATGAAAAGTCATTGGCAATAACATTGTAATGTCTTGGGGGAATATCGACAAATACCAAATGTTACTTTTTAAACAATTACCTGATCAATACACGATAATTCTCAAACACAAAAAACCTCATATAAAAATAATTACTAACCATCATTGTTTGCTTTCCTATTGCATTCAATCCAATACAAATGCAAAACATAATTTGATTGGGTAACTAAAGTCGAACGTCATACGCTCTATTTAGCTTTCTAATTTAAGCAGGATTAAGAATATTTCCGCTTCCAGTCAAAGTCTATAAAAATTGTTTTGTAATCACCTATTTATCTTTGTTCAAGTGTTCAGTTTCACATATTTTAGTTTAGTTTCTTCGTTTTATCATGACATCATGCTACTGTTGTATAACATCAACTAAAATCTCTTTCATATCTAGCCTACCAAGATAGAAAAATATATATATTGATATAATGAATGTGTCACCCAGATATATTGTTTCCATTTCTCAGATTGCACTTCTCCTCTCCTTTGTTTGTAGCAATACCACATGCTTGTCGGAGACATACATGTATACAGACAGAGCGTACAATACTATTATACTTTTGATTTTCCTTTTTTTCCCTTTCATTTGAATTCATCAGAAGTCAAAATAGATTTTCAAAAGAAATACGGAAAAGTTAGTCACAATTGCATTTTTGAATAATTTTGAATTTTTAAAGAGCTAAAAATACATATGTAGTTGAAATTGAAGAATAAATTGCTTAAAAACAACAATGTTGGTATCTTATCGGCATAACTTTTAAAGTTAAACTTTAAGGAGGTTGGATTCTGTTATAAAAAATCTTAAGAATTTTTTGTCAAGCATATTTTAATATCTACACACAAAGTTTATTCAAATATTAAAACAAAAATGGGGGTCAATACGCGTTTTTTGGCTCTACACTGCTTTTAATATGACCTTTTTGCACTGTGATTGCGTCAGATTCATCATCACATTTTCGAAGTTTTCCTACAATATTTCTAACCCGTATAAATTATGGGATCAAATACAGTCTTATCATTTCTAAAATAGACACATTAAAAATTATGACAAAGAAAATTTTCAAATTACTTTGCATAATCAATTATTTGACCTTTCAGCACTCACAAAATGTTATTTTTCTGCCATTTAAATTTAACAAGCATTAAAATTATTTTAAATTGATAAGCTTTAACGAAATTTAAGCAGAATTGTAAAAGTTATCTTGTATATTCAGTAAAGAATAATAAAAGTGGTGTAATTTAATGACATTATTCAAAAAGTGTTAATTTTTAAGCTAAAATTATGGTAATTTTTTCTGGACTTTTACAATATATTTGCTATATTTGTCATGATAAGTTGATAGAATTCATAATACTTAATTCTATATATAATTCGGGGTCAGTTTAAAACATTTCAGTGCATAAATAACCCTGCGTGCAGAATACATGAAATAATAGGAATCCAAACTTAACAGTACTGTAAATACTTCGAAAGAGTAAAATTGATAATTTTCTTCTAAAAAAATCCTTCTGCCTCAAAATATAGTTCCTAGTTCCTCACTTAACGCTTTTTCTATGAAAGTTAATTGTAGATTTTTAATTGAATATATAGCTTAATTGGTATTGTAGAATCCAAATTTATTGTAAAAGCTAAATATGATGCAGAATTTTAGAAATAGAAGTCCAGATGAAAGTATGCCTAAAAGCTCAGGATCGAACTCACCCCAAAATGCTTTAAATAGTACGCAATAATGTTAAATTCCATCAAATCTTAGGACGGTAATTAATTAAAATGCTAGTAGTCTATAAAGGTCAACATAGGTCAAGTTGAAATCTTTATAATTCATTCACACAGCAAAATTCACTTTTTGTGCAGACTTAGTGTACAAAGAGTACTAAAAGAACTATTTTGAAGATTTTTTTTAAAATTATTACTGCCATTCTGCTGAAAAGTATAACAACAAAATGCATTGGAAATATATTTGGAATTGCTATGATAAAATCGGTACAAACACAATTCCGCCAATTTTTTTCAATATTTTTGTTGTAATTCTAGTAAAAATTGCCGTGATTTTTTTTTTTATTCAAATTGACATCATAATCATCATACACGAAAATTCAACAGAACATTACCTTTAGACAAACTATGAAAGTTATTGTTGCATGTATTATACTGTGACACAATGGACAGAATATTAGGAAAAAAATATTAGTTTAACAGGTTTAAGGAACGGGCAATATTGAAATAAATAAAACAAATCTGGGGAAAATACAAAAAAAAAAAAAAAAAAAAAAAAAAAAAAAAAAAAAAAAAAACTTTAACAGACGTTTTGTTTTCCCACATATTAATTGTAAATACATGTATAGATTTAAACTTTAATTTTCTTCTTTCAAACAAAACAATTTTTAACGTGTCTGAATAGGAACACATTTGAATATTCACAATATTTGAGTGAATTTAGATTGAAATAATTTCTACAAACAAATTGTTTATTTTTTTCAACCAAACTATATGTTTATCTTTTAGAAGTCGTGTTTTTTGAGTAAAATAAGGTAATTGACCAAAGTTTTCAAGTTCAGCGACATACTTCAAGTACAGTATTGCTAGATAGTAATATGCTTCATGTAGCTAGTTATCAGGAAATTAAAACTGTCTGCAAAAATCAATAACCAGGAGAATTTATTATTTGATGAATTGAGAGCTTAGTTAATGAATACCGTGGTTCATTACACTGATATATCATAATTTTGAATCAATGAACTTACTCATTCCATGCTTTATAACCTTTACCTTTCTGCACCTTTACTCAGTTTTGAACTAGAAACTAGATAAAAATTGCTGATACATACAGTACACAAGCTATCAATAACCTTATAGAGACATAATTTGTCGAAATGCGCATTTGGTGGATCAAAATTGGTACCGTATAAGATTTACACTTTAATATACAAAATAGTAAAAAACACCACTTGGATTTTTAAATATATACACTTTAATATACAAAATAGTAAAAACACCACTTGGATTTTTAAATATATACACTTTAATATACAAAATAGTAAGAACACCACTTGGATTTTTAAATATTTACACTTTAATATACAAAATAGTAAAAACATCACTTGGATTTTTAAATATGTACACTTTAATATACAAAATAGTAAAAACACCACTTGGATTTTTAAATATATATCTGCATATAGAAATGAAAATTAACATTTATCACTCTGTTCTATTTTTGATATTTTTTGTTTTGTTCTGGAACATGTTTTAGACAGATAAAAATCAATATTAATTTTAAAAAATCTTACAACTTATCCAGTCAGTAATATACACATTTACAATTTTTTTTCCTCCGTGAAGCTTTGTCATTTTTTAAAGAAGCAGACTTGTGCTGGTTTTTTTCTTTTTTAAACAATTGAATTGTACGTAATTTTTCCTCAGCCAGATACAGTTAAATAGTTTAATCCAATATCATCCACATAAAATCCAAAGATTTTTAAAAATATTTATCTTTTATGTGTTTCTCAGAAAACACACTATTCATTCTCGTCGCTCCTTCTATGTGTCACTCAGAAATTATTATACAGTTAAAATATGTCACTGAAGGGTATTACGTGAAAACTACATTAGAGAAACTCTTTAATTCTATACCGTATGTAACTTATATTGACTTCAGTGGCATACAAAGTTTAAAGAAAATCTACCTTTGATTATTTTAAGGGAGCGTCTAAAATACAGGCACATTTACTAATGGATTACATGATAGAATGCTAATTTTTCAAAGCAAATTTTTGCAAGTAGTAGTACTACAAAATACTTTTCGCTCAAATTATGAAATGTTATGAGTAAACTATATTGTACGTATAGTTTCCAGAAGGGGCATCAAAAATGTCAAAATTAATGAAATTTTTCTATTTTTATGGAGTACAACACAATATTACAAATTCAAAAAAGATATTCAAAAATAACATAAAATAATTGTGAAATTTTCAAATTCCTATGTTTAAAATTTCAAGAGTATATATTTTGTACTTTATCTTTTATAATATTTTTATGATACCCCCTATTAAAAAAATACACTCTTACGACGTCCAGCTGCATAAACCTATCAGTTGAAAATTCGTTAAAATATCAGTCAATTGAAAATGTAATGTTTTTTAACCTGTAACATCTTATTCTCATAAAACAAAATATATAAATTATGTGAAAATAGTTGCTTTAAAAGCGCTTGATTTCACTATGCTGTGCAAAGTATTGCTTGATGGAAACCCAAGTCCATCCCCTTAATTTCTAGCTAGTATTCTTAAGGCTTAAAAATTTATTCATTATCGCTTGTCCAAAGTTTTGTTCAATATTCCTTGTTGGTTATAACTTTATATATATATATATTTAGGAATGTACACAGGCGAAGTTTACTGCAACGGAGAAAAACTAGACGCCATGGTGAGTTTGAATTTTACTATCGTAATGGGAAGCCATTTGATTTTAGTCAATTAGAATTGCATGTGTAAATTGAGAAAAATACGAATGGTTTTATAGATCACTTTTGACAAACAGCATTTGGGTGTCTAAAAATCTATATGCTATTCTCAATAATGAATAAGTTTCATTTGTTATCTCGATCTCCGACAGAAAGTCAATAGCAATTAAAGTATTATTTAGTTCAGTTTTACAGGAAAAAGAGTCTGATATTAGAGAACTAATTGCATATCAGTAAGCTTTGGATATGACTTCCTCCTTCGTGGACTTCGAATAACAAAGTTATTACAGTATAGTTTACAAATAAGAGAAAAAAAATAAGATAAGGAACAATGATCGATCTCAAAATATTTTTGAATATATATTAGTAAAATGGGCATAAAACAAGGACTCCTGGAAATTTTAGAAGTGGGATCAGGTGCCTAGGAGGAGTAAACATCCCCTGTTGATGGTCACAGCGTCACGAGTTCTATGTATTGATCAGTTGTATGGAATAATCCGTGGTCAAATTTAGCATGAAAAATAATAATTGTATATCAATTGATATGAAGCAAGTCAGTCAAAATATGACCAAATGATAGGTTGTATCTGCAAACAAGGTTATTATAACGACCGTAAAATTTATTTTGAAATCCTGACTTTAAATAAGGTGAAATCCCTTTTACATTAATTTATTTGTCAGTATTGAATTTACAACACATTTATTATAAAATCAGAATTGTTTCATAAGTACACTGGTACTAGAGTTTCGAATTGTGAATAAAACGAACAATACTCATGCAACAGTCCAACTAGACAATTGTGAGCAAAGCAAATATGGGCTTTTGTGAAACATCAGAGATGGAATCAGGTGCCATGGAGGAGTAATCATCCCCTTTCGACCGGTCACATCCGCCGTGGGCCTCTTTACATGCTCGGGTGAAAAAATATGAGGATAATGGCCTAACAATACGTTTGAAAACCATTGGTCAACACTCGACCTAACGAAAGATTGTATTTGCAAACAAGGTTATTATATCGACTTTCTGATTTGCGAAATGTTGACTTTAAAAGATTTTGTTGATACCCTTGTATCATTAACTTACCTGCCAGTGGACTGCCTCGTTTAGGAAATTGTTCGTACGTAGAACTTGGCTTAGCATATTGAATCAAATTCCATATGCATATTACTGCATAAGGAAATTTGACAATAGAACAGTGAAAGACATTAAGCTTATCGTTAAGTTTAGTTGTTAGGTTGCATCTATCTTTAGAAAACAATCTTTTAAATACGAAAATGTGTAAGAATCTCTAAAGTATCAAGTGTACTATATTTGTTACCAACCTTCATTCCATAGGAAACATTCAGTGAAGATGATTGCAGTTGTACATACGACTTTGCCATGAATGGACACAAAGGCCGTATCGTCACACGTGAAGGGGCTCCTAATACCCTGACCGTGGATGGAATGTTGGTACCCAATTGATGAAAAAATATCTTCCAATCAGGGAGCATCAGTGGGCGTTTTGACTTTTTTCCCGCCATCTGTGATAAATACAAAATAAATAATAATAATTCATTCAATACATTTTTTTTTAAAATGATAATTGTAATTTTCAAAAGAATTTTTGGTACATTGGATGTATAAATGAGGTCGCTTACACTGAGATGCTTAAACTTTTAAGGGGACCATACTGTTGATTTTGTTGTATATAAGTGACATTAGTTGATCAAAGTCAGATGATTAAACAAGACTTTCCAATAAAATGTAAGAACTTTTGTTGATGCTGGATTTCTTGTGAGGATAATTACGCTTTTAATTTACACATTTCCTACTAGTTTGAATGTTTAGCTTTTGAAATACGTCATTATTTGCAAATGCTGCATCGAATAAGCACTGTAGTGTTATATTTTGAAGCGTTATGTAATGAACCATTTGCCTGTTTTGTATTTAATCATTTCTCACACAATATTTTATCTTTTAAAAATAATTTGTAAGGTTGTATTTTATCTAAAATATATTCACAATTATTTTTAATTTTTATTTTGAAATGTTTGAATGTTTTTACTCAGTAGATACTGTATTATGTTATTGTTATGTTGAAATGCAGATTGATATAATTCATTTACATTTTGTACATCATTAAGCAGTCTAGAATTGATTGAAACCTCTTTGCTTTGTGTATTTCATAAAAAAAATATAAATGTGCCTTTCCCTTACATAAGAAGATATTTTAAAAACCGACCTCACTCGGTTTATAAGCGTTTTTTGTGGTTGTACCTTCATTAAATAAATGACGATTTAATAGAAGATTTAAAAGTAAATTTGATTTGGGGAGTTTTCATTTACATACATGTAATGTATATTTGTGATATTAAATGAACCAAGTACTTTTTTGCTTAAAATATAAGCAGAAGAATAACACAGAAAATGGAGGCATGTTATATAGATTACGTCAAAGAAACACCTATATTGGGTAGAGTATTATTTTACAAATTAGAAATGGTTTGACAAGTAAATGAAAAGAATATTTAAAAATTCGAAATTTGTGATAAGGTGTTTGAGAAGTGCTAAATTATTTTTTGTTTTTTTATTTTATAATAAGGGTAACTATATGTGTTAATATGTCTCTTTTGTATCATTGTTAGACTTCATAGTAAATAATTGTTGTGGAACTCTTTTCATGCATTCTTTATTTTCGCATAAAATATATAAAGGTTGATTAAACTCAGCCTTATTACACAAGTTTGTATTCTTTTTGATTCCAAAGTGCCAAGGTACTGATATCCAATGCGTATGCGATAATAAAGCTTACATGATAAATGTTCTATAGCAGTATTCCATTCACTCGTACGATCCCAGTACATAATGTACACGGGCTAGATGAACTTGTTTTTGTAACTGTTACGTAAATAAAGAGATATTGCAATAGCATGTTTGTGGTGTATTTCTTGCCAGTTGTAATAATAATTGTGTTACAATTGCTGGTCAAACGGTGAATCTTTACCGTTTGTTTAAAGAGCACTGCTGCTGATTTCGTTAATCGCCAGATAAGACAGATATTGAAATGTTTTGCTTTTCTTTTAATTTATTCGCAAAATCTTGTTATTGATTTGTAAAAACTCTGTTTTTGACTTGTTTTCAAAAAGTTGTAATGAAAAAGGTGAAGAAAACGAACAGCGATCGATCTAAAAATAAATTTCAAACAATACAAATCTGTGAACAGGGCATAAATTACGAACCCCTGGAAATTCCAGAGGTGAGATCAGTGTCTAGGAGTAAGCACCCCCTGTCGATCGGCCACACCCGTCTTGAGCCCAATTTACTGATCAATTAGACGAAATATTCTGTAGTCAAATATAGTATAAAACCAAAGGCCAATTGGTATGAAATATTTCAGTCAAAATATGTCAAAATGATAGGTAATATTTGGCTACAAGGTCACTATAACGACTTTAGAGTTTTCGAAATGCTGACTTTAAACGAGGTTGTAGAAATCCCTATAAGATCAACTTATCTGTCAATAAGATATCTCGGTTCAAAAATTGATCATACTCTGAGCATGCTTATATATTTTAGGAATGACTCTAATTCTTGGCCAAATTATTCGAGTATAACCTGGTTTGGGTCAGTTTACGCTTTATAATCCGCGAAGCGGATTATAAAACAGCGTAAACTGACCCAAACCAGGTTATACCCGAATAATTTGGCCAAGAATTAGAGTCATTCCTTATAATTTAATTCTAAAATCATTAAACGACTGTGGGTGTAAAATTTCGTTGCTTTTTATTAGTTCAAATTTGCCGCTCAATAATACAACCCTAGTAACGGAAGTGATGGGAAGCAAGGGGAGGTAAAAACTGATACATAGTCCTAGCAGCCATGTTTTTTGTTTGCATGTGGTAAGATCCGAGTTACTGTTTGAAGCTAAAGGTACATTTATTAAATCTGGAATTTTCCATGAATCCCGAGGACTGGAAATGAGAGCATTGCATGGATACAGACGATTCAGCTGGTTGTCAGGGGGGTGTGTCCCCATACCAAACCAGGTTATACAGAAATAATTTGTGTTCCTTTTTGGATATTGACCAATCAGAGGCTATAATATAAACAAAATTAAATTATATATATATATATATATATATATATATATATATATATATATATATATATATATATATATATATATATATATATATATATATATATATATATATATATATATATATATGATTGTTTAATTTGGATAATTTAGTATTCCTATTCGAAACGCTTTCTATTTTTGTGAATCACACATAAATCACTAGTTATTGAATAAGTACAACAACTTATCGAATATAATTCACAAGATAAAGGATTTGAATCACAGTATTTAGAAAATAAATCAAGTTTAAGAATGTGAATCACAAGTCACAAGAATATAAACAGAGTAACAATTTTTCGAATATAGTTTACAACATTTACAATATAAAATTAGAAATTTGATCAATTTAGAAATCAAAAGTTTTAAAATAATGCTCGCCATAAAAGGGGGCGGATTCAGGAATTTTGGATGGAGTGAATTTTTTCTTTTCAGAGGCATTGTTATGCACGTATTCATATACGTATTTACACTCTCCCCCCTAAACACTCACTTTAGAATCAATAATAAATTTTTGCATTTTTTTGGTTCTAGTCTTACTTATGTGTTATCATTGAACTGTTATTTGATCATGTTGAACCCTTAATCTAAATACGTGATTGTATTATGGATTTGAGCCTTCCTCCTTTCATCATATGTGATGACGCCATGTCTTTTAGACTTTGTAAAATCAATAGGTTTGAAGATGTTCTGAGGAAATATAAGCCGATAAACAATGCTTGACTTCAGAGTCAGAATTACTTTACGGTGCAAATGACAACAAAAGAAAAACAGTTGCACAAATTATTTTCAGTATCTTTAACATGTTTAAATTTCATAAAACTATGTGAAACTGTCGTATAAAATGTTTAAATTATAATGAGTATCATATTATTTGGATATTTACCGTAGAACCTACGTCGTATGATGCCTTAGTTAAGTGAACGAACGCAAGCCTGTCTCAGCTAATAAAAATACACAGCTGTGATAATGTGAATGACATGCAACTATTCTAAAGTAATGCAAATTTGACTATTAAAAATATGCTACAGTATCTTGATGATAAGTCGTCTGAGCTATAGATCTTTTAAAGATTGTGTTTAATGTTAACTTTGTAATATCTATTATGAATTGATGTACAATCATTTTCATTATTTTTTGTTAATTATTCATATGAACTTTTAATGGCTTTTAATAATAATAATAATATTTCGCTAAAATATCAAATTTTTAAATAGAAATTTACATTTTTGGATAAATTTTCACAATGTTAATCTGAAAGTAAACCAAACCTTTCATTTAATCGTTATATCCTGTGTAAGTGCAAAAAGGTCAAGATGAGTAGTATTGATTTGAAAAAAAAAACCCATCCCGCTCATTAGTTTGCAGGGAAAGGTGTATGTTTTAATCACTTTTTGTAATCATTTGGATATATGCTTCATCATATCAAGAATTGAAAATACTGTCACGAAGACTTTTGGTAAATATTTACAAATTTAGGGTTGAAGATTGATTTAAAGTCCTTTGAAAAATATTGAGCGCGTTTGGCTATATTTGTTGAAATGTGGATTTAATCTTGTATGTCAGTTGAAAAAAAAAGGAATTAAATTTAAAAAATATTTCTGACTATTGTTCAGTCCTAGTTCAGTCAAGAAAGTCTATCAACAAAGATGTTTGAAGAAGTATTTTTGTGATTTTCTATATTCTGCTTACGTCCATGTACCTCTAAAATGCCTAAAAATTATAGTCGCAGTGTATAATTATCATTCTAAATTGCACAGATGCATTACCTTTTATAACAGGAAATCATGCCATTTTCCTTTAATTGTTTAATGAGCAAATATTAATTACTTATTTTGAAAAGTATGAAAATCCTGTGACAAAGACTCTTCCGACATAGGTTCTACCTTAATTTTTATTTTCATCTTCATAAAGTGCTCTCTGATATACATATTCACAACTAGCTGCAGAAAAAATATTAATTAGCAGATTATAGAGCTACTCATGAAAAACATGCACTTCTTCTGGACTTCTTTCCCCAAACGGTCTATTTCCAAGTATTTTATACCAAGAAATTCTTTACATTACACTACTTATGCTGTCACTTAATTTTCTAAAGAAGTTCTTTAAATTACCCTCATTAGCATTGGAAAAGAAAGTGTATTTAATGTCATCGCCTTTGTTACCTGTAAAAAAAAATCATTCTTATTCACTTTTTGAGGTTGTGAAGTCGATTAAAAGAAATTCAGAGACAAGTGAAAACTTCCGTAGGAAATTTTTTTAAAGAATTTTTTATATCATGAAACTGATGGCAGGTCTGTAATGTGGAAATCGACGATTAAGGAAACCATTCTTCCCATGATATTGATTTCTTGAAAAGTAAAATCCATGTTATGCTGATTTTTCAGGATTGCCAATTGTTTCTTTTTTATAAATGTATCCATTTCAACTTATTTTGATGTGCACAGTCTTTTCTTCATATTAATACACATGTAACCTAATCTCTGGAAATTTTATGGGAGGAGGCGTACCCCCGCCCCCTCTTAATCCGCCAGTGATGAACAAAATTGCCAGATAGAAATGTGGTGATACTTTATTTTCAAAAACAACACTGTTTCAAAAATTGTACGTCATCAGCAGCCAAAAATGAAATTAGATATTTTGCCAGAAATTGAAAATCTACACCTATATGTTTGCCATATTTCCCACAAACTTTGTGTCGACTGTTTTGCCTAGATATTTTAAAATCTACAAACCCTGTAAAATTCATCATTCTAATAATAATAACTACAAAGTGTGTCTGAATCAAGCATATGTTTGATTTATGTATAATGCATCTACCTATATAGAATCATAAGCATTCCACGGTAAAATGTAAAGGAATTGGACTTCAATTCCAACGATGTCCAACCTACAGCATGTACCTGTCATATTAAACCAATTATTAGCTTATATTTTCCTATACTTGCCTTTTTGGTTAATATACTCAGTAGTATTTTCCCCTAAGAATTATTAGAATAACATTTTATGTTATTTAAAAAAAAAATGCCGAAAAAATGTCATGACTGGTTACTTTTCTGACTTTTTAATCAATAAAGATGAACAATGGTGGGGAAAGTAATCGAGATAATAAGATATTTCTGGACATGTTTTCTTAATTTTATGGTTAACCGCCATCTTTTTCTCTTTAGAATATTTGATTTACACCTATTACATTAAGAAGCTAAGATAAGTAGTACTTCATAATTTTTTTCAATTGCGAGAGCATATATTCCCCTCTATCGATTATTTAACTTTAACTTGAAAAAGAAAATGTCATTGAAGCATATTTTTTCAGAAAATACCTGTTAAACACTATAGTTGTTTGCCTTGACAAACAGCTGCTAAACATCTTCCTTTCTAAGAAAAAAAAACTATTTTGTTAATTTTTGTAAATACTGTATGAAAGTACATGTATATGTATTCTTCTACAATATATGCATAAATCTAACATTTTGGAATGTAAGTGTAGTAGATCCTACACGTTAAAATCACTGGTAACTATTACCATAAGTAAGATTTATACAGGTCAGGAGGAACAACTCCAATATATCCTTGGATTATTAAATTCAGATCCATTGTTCTTATATTAAGGCTTCGGAAGATAGCGTTGGCATCTCCTCCCTGTACATGAAATTTAATTTTCTACAGATTGGGATGAGATGTATGATTCTTACGTTAACATTTAACGTATTTCTAATGAAATGTGAAGATAATGATTAGTATAATGTTCAAAAGTCCATTTAAACAATACAAATTATTAGCAGAACAAACCCGAACCTCTGAAAACAGAGGTGGGATCAGGTGCCATGGAGGAGTAAGCATCCCCTGTCGACCGGTCACACCCGCTGTTTTATCATTGTCATGATCGGGCAAACGGATAATTCGTGCACAATTCAGTTTAAAAATAATGGCCAAACAATTCGTATGAAATACTTCAGTCAACATTCGACCTAAGGAAAGATTGTATTTGCAAACATGGTCATTGTATCGATCATAGAACTTGCGAAATGTTGACTTTATCCGAGATTGTTGATATCCTTGTATTATCAAATTATTTGACAGAAGCCTGCCTCGTTTTAGAAATTGATCGTACGAAGAACATTGTCTTGCATATCGAATCAGCAGGGAGACATAAGCCCTATATGCAGTTATAATGATATATTGCTACATAAATACAGGAAGTTGACAATAGAAAAGTTGAAGTCATCACGTCATATATCAGCAGAAAAGATAGTCGTATTATTTTGCCACAAAGCACTGGATTCATCTATTGTACAAAATTTTGGAACTATAATGAAAGATGAAGATAACGAACAGTATCAAGCCCAAAAGTCAATTGGAACAATACAGATTGGGAGCAGAGTAAACAAGGACATCAAAAATAAGTAAATAATGGAAACCTGAAAACAAGCCAACATGAAAATAGTTATGTTCAAATGCATCTTTTTGTGTTTTATTGTTCTTATTTACGTTAAAATGTAACTTAAATATGTCGATATGCAAGAGATTTATGTTGACATGGGAGATAAGAATATTTGACAATACTAGTATGTCTTCATACAAGGTAATTAATCCGATATATCACACTTTGTTCACTGGATGAAAGATTTTGTATATTATAATAGATTACAGCTCCTTCAGTTTATTCACTGAAAACCATTAAGTGCTGCATGATTTACTAAAACATATAACTTATACATAAAATATGGAGATAACGAACGGTAATCAAGCTCAAAAGTCCATTGGGACAATACAAATAATACATATAATACAGGATCAAGCAGGAACTAAAACTGTGTAAGCCACCTTTTTGAAGATTCATCAACTTAGCCTTATTGAACATTTTGATCTGTTAACCTTTGTTTGATTGTTACATACATCAATTTTACACGATTAAAAATTTGCTGTGTTACAAATGTATTACGGAACCGTTTAAGAAATATAGAAAATTAGAAATATATTAATGAACCGTATAAGGGAGTTAAAGGCATTATTCGAACCATCTATCCTTCTGTTTTCACTAAATCGAAGGTGATAAAAGTATTGGAAAGACTACATGATCATTATATTATTGTTCTAGCAGACAAGTCTTGTAACAATATCATCTTTGTTTGAAAGGTTCATTATTATAACAGTATTTTAGAACTTGGTTTTAATTCTAGAAATCAAACTTATACTCATAGTTCACTTTCTAAGGATGATATTCTTCAAAATCACATTTCAGTCTTTAATACTTTTAACATTCCAGTCAACCAAGGTGAATTCGATCTACTAAACTGGATTCCTAAACTACATAAAAAATCCTTAAAAACAAAGGTACATTGTCAGGTCCAGCAATGCTCTACCAAGCCCTGTCTTTACTCCTTATACAAATATTAACTGTTGTAAAGGAGAAACTTCAGACCTACTATGCTATAGCATATTCTAGAAGTGGTGTAAATCAGATGTGGATGAAAATTTAAAAATCAAAACATACTTTTAAAACGTACGACCTTTCTACACCACAACAAACTCTAGGAATTTCGATGGGAATTGTGCTACTTTATAAACTGACCTTTTTTCATATTCCTATGTAACAGAATTTTTTCAAAAAATTCTACATGAGAAGAAAAAACTTGCTGTGGCCTTCAACTCGACATTCAGATATATCGACGACTTTTTATTAGTTAACAATAGTTACTTTCATTCATATATCGACTAGACATATCCCAGTGAACTAAAAGACAAGACAGAGTCTGCCACATTTGTTTCATATTTGGATGTTTCTGACTATAGACGACAAGGGCCAACTAGCAACTAAATTGTATGACAAACGAAATGACTTCAGCTTTTCCATCGTCAACTTTTCTTCTTCATGAAGTAATTTCATAACAATTGTTAGGCCTTGTTTTTATACTTTATTTGAATACGGAATGTTCCGTCTACCTGATTAAAACATAGGGCTCACGACAGGCGTGACCGGTCAACAGGGGATGCTTACTCATCCTAGGCACCTGATCCCACCTCTGGAATTTCCAGGGGTCTGTGTTTTATGCCCTGTTCACAGATTTGTATTGTTTATAGATTTATATAGACCTTTTTAATTTCTAGTAATTAAATATCTAAATATGAAACAGATGTGTCAGATTCTATGGTATATTTTATTTCAAGTTCACTGGGATATACCAAGTCAACATATGAATGGAAAAAAGTATTGTGATAATATGTCCCCGATATATCTAAATGCCTAGTTAAAGGCCAAAGCAAGTATTTTTTCCTTCTCATGTAAAAGTTTTTGAATAAATACTGCTTCATATAAATATAAAAATAGGTCTGCTAATAAAGGAGCGCAATTGGTACCCATAGAAATTCCGACAGATTGTTAGAAGACGATCTCCGAAAACTACATCGATATTGTCAATCAGAACCTCAAGCATCTTTTTAAATATCAACTTCGGTTTACTTGTGTGCACTCAGAATGTTTATAAAACAAAAAGTACCTTCATGTTTTTTTAAATGGTCAGGTAAACTTGTAAATGATAGATAAATAAAAATGTGAGAAAAATACCTTATCTTTTTACATTGTATGTTCTTCAAAGACCAGGAGAGGAAAATGTGAGAGGAAATGAGATAGTTTTACTAATAGTGATCAAGTGCTAGTGTTTCGTTTAGTTTAAATGGTTATAGTGTCAATTGGGGGCAAGTAATAGATCTACTTCAAGATTTGTTAGTTAATACTAGACTAATTATTTTGTTAATCCCTGATCATCCTATTTCCCTTGCTTTTGGGCAAAATAATTTCATCTTTCAGTTTATTGTGTTTTATTTTATACTTTTGTGGATCCTTTACATGCAGTGTTATATCATACGCAGGTGACCGTTAGGCCCTTGGCCCTGTTGTCTGATATCAGAAAAGCATTTTCTAACTTCAGAAAATAACTTTTAAATAGTAAAACATAGCCTCGTAAAATTGAAATGTTGGATTTATTCCAGACGTCATTATAATTTTGCAAATTTAATATATTGTTCTATGAACTATATTTGCCCGAGAAGCCTCTGTCGAAGACTGTAATATTAAGAATCGCAGCGTCAGAAATGATTCCGACACTTCTTATTTAAATTCTCCGTCCGTCCCTGGAACTAATACTAATAATTTTGCAATGAAATCAAACTTTCAAAAGTTATGTAAAGTTACTTGCAAATCGTTTGGAATATGTAAATTCACATTTGTCTGCTTTGCATTTGCTTAATGATGTTTTCTTTCTTATCTCATGTAACAGTTACAAATAAATCTGTAAACAGAAGCCAGTCACATTCCTAACAGTTGTATGTATACCTACTTTTACAAGGACAACATGCAACCCTTTGTTTGCATTAGAGAATTCTTCATTTTGGAAAATTTCAAATAAGTAGGTGGCAAAGAAGCCATCAGTAAAGACATTTATAAGAAATATTATTTTCTTTCATGGAAAAGAATTGACATGCCAATCACCCAAATTCTTAAACATGAGGAAGAAATCGAGGCGACGATATATTTTATCTTATATAAATGACAATAATAATGCTTCGTTAAATCTTAGGAATTCAGATACAAGTGTATCCCCAATATGTGCATTCCTTTAAAAATGTTCAAACGCCTAAGATAACCACAGTCTACCTCCGGCGACAATGGTTCTTGAAAAGAAATTTTAATTCTCGTATCTAATTTTCATTGATCTTTTAAATTATTTTTATTCAATTTTTTATCTAGATTTTTATGATATTGACAACTTGCATCATGCAGTGTATTGAAAGAAACCGCATTCGATTTTCCAATTCAGATTTATAAAACTCGAGCAAGCATCGCGACAGAGTTTAATTCTCGTGGAACCTTGCTGATTACAGCGCATATGCTTCAGAGCTCCAGTATCTATTTTTATCTTTAACGACAGAAAAGATCATGGAGGCTACTTTGATGAGCGGACCAAGCTCATCAAAATGGAACATGCTTCAGTATGCCATGGTTTCCTGCTACTCCATAGGATTACACGCCAGCATCTCACTTCCATTTTATATTGTGAAATATTCAGGTATGTAGTAAAATAAATTTATTCGACGGCGAAAAAAAAAAATTCCACAAGTAATTCTGTGGCGATTAATAATGAATCTCTTGTTTCAGAGACCCGAGTCTTAGTCATAGCATCGCTGAATCATTTCTTGTCTCCAGATCGATACAGAATTAATTTGTCTTCTAAAATCGCTACTGTGTTACCCTTGCTACGAAAACATCTCTTTAAAAATATTGATTTGATTAAAGCAAACTTTCTATTATAATTGGGTAAATGCATTCGTGATCTTACATATTTATAAAATTGTCAATTTATAAAATCCTTTTATTTGTTGATTTATATCATTTTGATCACACAGTTCAATTGAGGGTGAAATATTAAAGTATTCCTCTTTTCCAAATATATTTATATATCTGTGATTCAAAGAGAAAAGTAAACTAGTATTAATTGTAACGGGGACCGTTACAGATGTTCCCCAAACGCTCCCCAACTCCCTTTTGGTGTCTTATTTCCTGTAAGCTTCATTAAATAAGGCAATTAAATATATTGGTCATTTAACGCATTTCACGCGCGCGCACGTGCATGCATGTGCAGGTTGACAACATCATTCCGTCTGTACTATAAATGCATCTTTATATTCTCAGTATCAAAACATTTCATCAAAAAATATATAAGTTCCGGCTATATCAAGTATATTGGTCATCTTAGCATTGCGCGCACGCGCACCTGTATGCATGTTCATAATGACCATGCCATTTTGTCTACACTTATGATATGTCTGTTTATTCTTAGTATCAAAGCTTTTCATAAAAAAATATAAAAGTTACGGCTATATTAAGTATATTGGTCATTAAACACATTGCACGCGCGCGCATGTGCATGCATGTGCATGATGGCCACATCATCTTGTCTACACTTTTAATATATCTGTATATTTTTAATATCAAAGCTTTTCATCAAAAAATATAAAAAGTACGGCTATATTAAGTAAATTGGTCATTTAACACATTGCACGCGCGCGCACGTGCATGCATATGCATGCATGTGCATGATGATCATGTCGCCTTGTCTACACTTTAAATACATACAAATATTTTGAGTATCAAAGCATTTCATCAAAAAGTTTCAAAGTTACAACTATATCAAGTAAATTGGTCATTTTACGCTTCGCGCGTGCGCGCACGTGCATGCATGTGCATGTTGACCATGTCATCTTGTTCATACTTTTAATATATCCTTATATTCTGAGTATCAAAGCATTTCATCAAAAAATATAAAAGTTACAGCTATTTCAAGTATATTGGTCATTTTACGCATTGCACGCGCACGCAGGTGCATGCGCGTGCGCGCAAAATGACCTTCGTTCCGCAAATCTACATAACATGCCTAGTAACCCTAAAAAGGTTTCACCTCAATCGGATGTGTAGTTTCGGAGATCACTCACGGACAAAAAAGTACCCAGGAAGAAAAATAATAATAATAAGAAGAAGAAGAAACAGAGTAAAAACAATATGTTCCCAAACTTCGTTTGGGGAACATAATTAGTTGGAATACTAGAAACAAATACATGTAAGTTTTTTTTGAAAAAAAATATTGAAGTGACTTCCACATTCATTCAAACTTGAAAAACTTTTAAAATTCCGGTTACAACTGGACGTTCCATCCAATTTTTAGCGGTAAATTACAGAACAATATTTAAAAATGTATATAATGTTAATAAAAAAGCGAAGATAACAAAAAATTGATAAAAATTGTAAATTAAAAAACTACTTACAATACAAATCTGTTAACAGGGCATAAAACACGGACCCCCGGAAATTCCAGAGCTGGATTTATTCCCATATCCTGAGAATTTCTTCAAAAAATGACCAAAAGTTTACGCTTTTGTTTTCAATATTTACTATAATGCACAACCTCTGATCAAAAGTGTGCAATTATATAATGTTAGAACTGTTTTTAACATGTTTAACGTGTTTTATTCTGGGGACCAAGGTGTTTGCTTAAATTTTAATTCTTTACTAAAGATACTCAAATACACCTTTTCTCTGCAAAATTCAAGAACATCGAAAACAAAACCCATTTTACGATACTTTGACTTACAGAGGAATCTTTGTTGTGGGAAATTAATCACTACGTCTCTACTTAATTTATAATAATGTTATAGCTAATGTGTTTGTCAATAAATCGGTATATCTACGGAGCCATTTTATGCATAAAGTGTACATTGCTTTTTGGTCAAGTCTTTGATGCAACAGCATTTGAATACTCTTTAAGATGTGCATTTTCATTGATAAAATAGTGTATATTCATAATATTTTTAATAATAATGAACCCGGAAACATACTGGACAATTTCTAAATTGAGACAGGCTACTGACAAATAAGTTGATGTAACAAATTTAGTAACAATCTCGTTGAAAGTCATCATTTTGCAGATTCTATGATCAATATAATGACCTTGTTTTCAATTACAACCTGTCATTAAGTCGAGTGTTGACTAACGTATTTCTAATACAAAATGTTAGGCCATTATTTTCATCTGAATTGTCTACGGATAAGCCCGTTTACCCGATTATGACTAAGGGCTCATGGCGTTGTGCCCACTCGACAGGGGATGCTTACATGGTACCTGATCCCACCTCTGATGTTTTCAGACGACCGTATTTGCTCTGCTCTCGATTAGTACTGTTTAATTGGACTTTTGAGCAAGATAACTGCCCGTATTTTGATTGAATCCTCAACATTACACAGTAAAAAGAATTCAACAAGTAATAATGATAAACGAAATAACGAGTTCTTAAATAAGCAATGTAGTCATGCAAAAATGTGTTTTCTCTTTCTAGTGACATTCCTGCTGGCTCATTACATTATGTTGTTGTCATTCTGTGTGCCAGTATGTTATGTTCAGATGAAGCTTGGTGCTATCTACCGACAGAACATCTTTGGAATCTTCAGCCTATTAGTGCCTATCCTTAAAGGTAAATTTACACTATTGCTTCCCAGCAGAAATCACAACACGAAACCCTACCTTAATACTGTAATTTAAGGTCATATTTGATCTTCAACGATGAATAGTATTTCTTCTTCGTCGTAGCAGCTTATTTGTAGGCAAAGAACTCTTTAAATGTTTCCGTGCTCCTTTATCAGCCGACCTGTTTTTATATTCTTATAAAGCAGAATATATTCAAGAACTTCTACAAGAGAAAAAGAAATTTTTGCTGTGGCTTTCAATTCAACTTTTCGATATATCGACGACGTTTTATTACTAAACATTAATAATTCTCATTCAAATGTCAACATGATATATTCCAGTGAACTCCAAAAAAGGACAGCACACCTCTGCTTCATATTTGTATATTTTACTGACTATAGTTAATGGCCAACTAACAACTGACCGAAATGAAAAACGGGTGACTTCATCTTTTCCATCGTCAACATAATTTCCCTATTCAAGCAGTAATATTCCACAGTCACCTGCATGCGGTGTTGATCTGATACTCTGGAGCAGATCTGAGTACGATCAATTTTTAAACAGAGGCAATCTACTGACAATTAAGTTGATGTTACAGGATTTTCCATTATCCCATTTAACTCAGCATTTCGGAAATTCTTTGGTCGTTATAAAAAATTGTTTGCAAATATAACCTATCATTGGGTCGTACTTTGACTTTATGTTTTCACCAATGGTTAGGTCGTTGTTTTTATACGATTTTGACGACGGATTAATCCTTTTGCTTGATCAATACAGAGGGCTCAGGCGAGTTTGGTCGATCAACAGGGGATGCATACTTCTCCTAGGCACTTTATCCCTCTCTGTTGTTTTCCAGGGTCCGTGTTTATGCCTTGTTCAAGATTCTAAGTATTTTTTACTGGATTTTTGAGATTGATCACTGTTTGTTTTCTTCACCTTTTACATAAGATCGTCTAATAGTACAATCATTTCTATCATGGAGTTTTTAATTAACTTTCTCACAAGATGATGAAAAAAAATCTATCTAGTGATAATTAAAAAAAAAAAAAGTTATGTATTGTATAAAGATTTTGAAGAATAAAGTTCATTTCATTTTATAATTTCTTTTTTGAAAGTACATGTAGTAACTTATCTCAATATTGATTTGGCAGACACTCAGCAGCTTTTGAAGTATGTCCGCAATTTTAAGTTCTACCGATGACCAATCTGATTTTACTTCAGCAAGTATTTCTATATGGCGATTGAATGAAAAGTTGAAGATAACGAACATTGATCGATCTCGAAAAAAAAAATATAAACAATACAAATCTGTGAACAGGGCATAAAACACACACCCCTGGAAATTCCAGAGGTGGGATCAGGTGCCTAGGAGGGGAAAGGGTTTCCTGTTGACCGGTCACACTCGCCGTTAGCCCTATGTATTGATCAGGTGATCAGAAACATTCCGTGGTCATATTCCGTGTAAAAACAAAGGCCTAACAATTGGCATGAAGCACGTCAGCCAAAATACGTCTGCTTACAAGGTCATTATAACGACCATAAAATTTTCGAAAGAAAATGCTGACCTTAAACGAAGTCGTTGAAATCCCTGTAACATCAACTTATCTGTTAGTAGCCTCCCTCGGTTTAAAAATTAATCGTTATCTGAGCATATTTACGAGTATCGAATACTATATGCAGGTAAATTCATAAAAAATATAAAAACAGGTCGGCTGATAAAGGAGCAGAGAAACATTTAAAGAGTTCTAGGCCTACAAATAAGCCACTAAGATGAAGAAGAAATAAACTTAAGGAAGTTGTCACTGAACCAACTATAAACAGAAGTTAAAATACAGCCTTATTCTTTATCGTGTTTATGTAAATGGTTCATCTTAAATTTTACTTAAATAGTGTTTTGCATCAAAAATTGCCACTACCAGATTGACTAACCATTATGTATATAAATGCTTTATAGATATTCATTATGTGATGCAGTCTGTGGATATCGAGCATATGTTTCTTTTCATGTAATTAGAGTATTATTCTACTTCTTGTATTTTATGTGTGATATGTTTTCTGATTACAATTGTTTCTTTACATTGACAAATCCCTCCTTTGCAATACTGTAACTTCACTTGAAAATTTACACTGTACCATCCAATTTGTATAATGGAACTCTAATTTGCATATTTACATTGTGAAATCCATTTTGTTATACTGGAACTGTATTTTAAAAGTTTGTACGAGTTTATGATTTGATTTGATCAGAATATTATCATATTTTGATCAATAAACATTTTTTCAACACACATGTGAGTTTGTCTAATTTTGTGTAGGTAGGGAAAGAGGAGGCATAAAATTATTTATATCTTTAAAAACCCAGAAATTAGATATAACCTTACATCTTTTTTTCAAAATTCAGATGTTATGAAATCAAATTTATGTGTTGTCTACAAAATACAAAAAATTATTAAATAACAATTATACTATCCTTAATCTTTTTGCTAGGATTGAACAATAAGCTGCAAAACCAGTTTTACCTTGGTTCTATGAATCAAATATTTGGCAAAAGAAAGACTCATGCAAACTTAATCATTTGTATGCAGTTTGATGCTCACTTGCATTTTAAAATGTGCTATTGATTTTTATGCGCAAATGTTGAGATTCCTTATCCTGCTTTCACATTAGTAAATCAAAAACCCGCTAAAATCAATAGGAATAATTAAATAATGGCTTGCCTATAGTCATTTAACCGCACTACTGAGATCGACAGATCCGTACATAATAATCACAATGGCGTTTCAGCTTTGATAAGATAATGTTCAATCATTTATGAAAATTTTTCCTTGGTATCATAATCATTAAAATTCTATTTTTGTACTACAGCTTCGCCTAACATTCGTTCTTACGAAAAGAAATTGCAGCACATACAGTTTTTAGGGAATTTTGTGCTGACATGATTTGTACTTGAAAAACTATTAACTAAGCCTATTTTCTTATCTGTACTGTTGATTATATGCAGGTTGCTTTGTACTTGGTCGGTTTTGTGCAGGTTGCAAAATACCCGTTTTGTTGGTTATTAATTTGATAGTCATAAAAGTATAATTATCGTTAAAAATTTCTTTTAGGAAAACTATTTCTACCTATTTATAATATGACCGTCTTATAGGCTATGTATTGTACATGCAAATTTTGGAAGAATTTAGAGGTTTTTGTTTTTAAATTTAATTTTTCTTTTTCTTTTTTTGTCTTAATTCATTTTTTTGTCTTAATTCATGTTCTTTTCTCTTGCTCTGTAGACATGTTGTATTTATTTTGTTTATTTACATGCTGTATTAGAAGCTTGTCTGTTGATCCCACCTCTGATGTTTCCGTGGGTTCGAGTGTTTGTCCTGTTCAAGTTTTGTAGTAATTACCGGATTTATGAGATCGATCACGGTTCGTTATCTTCACCTTTCTTCATCTACAGGTTGTGCCATTGCGATACTGATTTTTTCCTACATCAGGTGCCTGACTGGAAGCTTAGAACTCAGTTATTGTCTATACTACGCCTTCGCATCATTTGTATTTCCCTATGATGATTCCACGCATCCAAATCACTGGGAGAGGTGAGTTTTGTGAAGTCACAAAATTGACGTGTAAATTTTCCAAAAGATAATTTATTGGAAATGATACCCTCTAGAGTCAAAAAGCAGAGTGAAGGTTTAAAAATTGCTCCTTACAACGGCTTAATATACATGTATTTTCTTCTTGCATAAATTGACACCAAGTTCCAGGAAACCTGGGCGATAGGATATTACCTAGATATTTTACACAATGTTTTGAACAACTTTACTTCCTCTTTTCTCTAACATATGGATTTTTTTTGTGTCAGGTCTGGACACCAGATGCCCATAGTATTTTTCAAGTAAGATTTGAATGTTGAAATTAATAAAATAATATCATTCTCTGTAACTGTCAATGATTGATTGATTTATTACTGTTTGACGCCGAGTCGGCAATATTTCAGCCATTTTTCGACGGCTATAACTGTTAATAATACATGTAACTGTTAATAATTCATACCCTCCTGCTCTAAACTGGTTCCATTTTCTCAGGCAGAAATTTCTGCAGATATCTGATGGTCTCTCAGAGGGAGGACATTTGGTGTGGTATATAGCACTGGCTCTACTGATCACGTGGTTTATAGTATACCTGTTAACCATAAAGGAACCATCTTTCATTGCAAAGGTGAAATTACCTTATTTCATCATAATGAACCTTTTGTACAATATTTATCTTGAAGTGACAAGGATATAGCGTAAAAGAAAATTAAAAATTAATAACAATCGAAAAATGTAAATTGTAATAGAGAAATAACAAGAAAATAGTGAATTCATTAATGTAGTAATTGCAAAGATGTTACTTTTGGGGACTTTTTTAAGATTAAAGGACTTCTCAAAATTCCAAAGTATACGTTTATGTTTATTTTCGTTTTACATTTCTACTTTAGCTAGCCTGTGTCGTAGTGCCTACAGCACTTTCTCTCTTACTGGTGACCCTCATCTATGGCTGGGTGGTTCCTCTCCCTGGTGCCCCCTCAGAGAAATTCAGTAGACTGGAAATCATTAATGGAACCTTGACATACCACGAAAGAGACCTCAACGAAGAGGAAATAGAAAAGGAACTTCCTGTCTGGAACATTTCTCTCAGCAAACTCTACTCACCTCAGGCAAGGAATCGGATAAGTTGAGACCACGACAATCGGAAAAAATATATATTTCACTTTCTTTGACACTCTAGTCATATTTCACATATGAAATGGAACTTTTATATGCGTGCAAGAAATATCCACGAGATCATCGATTGAATCCAGCTCGCGGATATTTTTGTTCTCGAAAAAAGTTAAAGAGTTAAAAATGTTTATGAAACAGGAAGTCTTAATCTCTAATATTATTTTTCAAATTTCGATTCACTAATAAATAATGCTTTACAGTATTGGTAAGATAACAAATGTAACTTTACAGTTAGTTAGCTTACATGACTTTATTTTTCTCAGCCATGGATGAATTCGCTGCTTCTTCATATCTATTCACTGGGACTTTGGTCTGGAGTCATACCAACCTTAGGGGCTCATCTCTACAACAAACAAGACACAATTGTTCGGTAGTTAATCATTTTATAGATTAAAAAAAGATTTTAAAAACGACATGAAATGATACCCAACTTTTAATTTTTTCCCAGTGCCAACGTGGTTTTATTGGTTGTGTATGGTCTGTTTCCTGTGGTATTTGGTATAGCATCTATTCCTTACATTTCAACCAATTCAGGTTATGGCATGTTTGAGTATGGAGAGAGACTAAAGCCAGGTATAAATCCTACTCACTTTATCACATTATCCCATGATACATAGAGATTTTATAACATCTTACGTGTCTCATTTTGTAATTGTCGAGGTGGTTAATTTTCGTATCTAGAAGAGCAGGATGTCAAAGATTCTGTACAAGGCAGAATATGTTTATAAAACCACTCAATTAGTAATGCTTTAATTTTTAAATTTAGCGCATTGCACGCTGCTGTAAATAACTGTCATTTGCATGATAGGTTTTTTGGCCATCCAGAGAACTTCTTAACATTTCAGGAAAAACTCGTGATTACTATATGTGCTGCTAACTTTATCATGAAATTAATGGCCCCAAAAGGGAGATTGGAGAATAAAAGAAATTGACAATTAAAACAAAGTTAAAGTTTGTGATTTAAAAAAATGTTCCACTTTAATCCCTGACTGCTAGGTTGGAGTGCTGACATGTAGTTATAGATTGTCTTTAATGCTTTAGTTTTAATAAACAAACGAACTAAAATAATCCGGTATTTTGTCTTCTGGTTTCTTATAGGTCTTGATCTCCTCCTTCTTGGAATGTTTGGTAAAATTCGCCACGTACCTGGAATTGCTCTGTGTTTGTATCTTGGAATCTATCTGTTTGGAATACTTCATATGGTATGAAAGTACTACATGTTATATCATGACTAATATATTATATTCTGTTTTCTAATTTTTGTGGTACATGTACAGTGTGTATATTCAAATCGTAAAAATAATAAAATTGCAAAATATACAAAGGTCATGTTTCAGTGACTTCTTACTGGAATCGCAAATTATGTTAGATGGTTTGCAAGAATTTCAAAACTGCGAAAGTACGATATACATGAGTGATTTGGGAGTTTTAATAATGTATGAAATATGGAGATTATATTGAATTTCTTCTCTCCTCTGTTTGTGCGTAAAACCAATTTAACTATTAATAACTGATACTTTTGTTCCCTAATTTAGACGTTACATCTGCTGGTTGTGTGGGATGCTCTTTTGACGTCATTTCCTGCGTTTCTCCTGCAATTCTTCAGGAAGAGGTCCATTTTAGTGGCAATATTATGTTTTCTCTCCTTTGTGTTCTGTATTCCGTACTGTTTTCAGGTATTGGGTTATTTGGCTGACTGAATATAAACAATGTAATACTAGTATTTTGAAATATTCAATTACCTTCAAGAAATTATTGTCATATTATACTGTTTAAGTTAATTGAAGGTTTTTGGTCACAAAGCTATAGTGTTAATTTTGATATCTGCAGAAAAGGCTCGGTATAAAAAAAATGGCATATATATAATTCTATAGTATTTGAAACACTTTTAAGCTTGACTGAGAAATACACAAGTAAAATTCAAAATACAGAACAATTGAATATCAGTTTCTTTGGGAGATTTGTATGAATATTGTTTTATCAGGGCGGTGTGTACCTCTACATGTTGGTCAGTAGTTATCTGGATCGTCTTATCTTCACCGTGATCATTGTCAGTATCGTCCCTACAGTCATCGGATACAGTGAGTAACGTACATTCTTTTAGACACAACTAATATATCAGTAAAAATCACTCAACAAATTCCATTCAAGTCTAGTTTACTAGTACTGACCAAATCAACTTCTATCACCCTGCATAGTTAAGCAGAATCTGGTGTATTTACTGTTGGAGCGAGCGCTGATGAGTCTTTGGCATGGATTGTCCTCCCTGGTAATAGCGGTAGGTATATAGTCAGGTTATGCAGTTACTTGTTATATAGAATTATAGCAAAATTCTTGCAATTATGTCATTTTAAATGCAGTACTTATGACAGTGGCAGCTGAAATTAATAATTAAGATTTTTGCGACTTAATTGTCCTTTTAAAGTCTTAATCTCATAATTCTTTCCACTTGTTTGGTTTTGTTTACTATAATTCGCTGCTTTCGTTATTATAGACAATATACATTTGAGTTTTGCGTTTCCCGATCAGTAATCAAGTACTTCTTTGGCTGAGGCCATCTTTAGAAAAAAATGTATATTTGTCCTCTTCCGACCGACTAACTTAAAATGGCCAAAATTAGAGCTTCATGCAAACTACCAGGAAACAATCATAATTTTATTTTATTCATTCCGGAATTTTCTCATCCCGTCAACAACTATTTTCATTTCAACAAATTTCGAAAATTAAGGATAAATAACACAAACAATTTTTTTTCCAGAAATCAGCAATATTTCTCATAGATTTATATTCAAATAGGTAACCTTAATAATGTTTGCCAGGTCAAGTGGGAGAATTTTGTCAGATTTTATCATAAGGTTAAAATATGTGCAAAATATTGTATAGAATTATATAGAAAGCAACACAAAGTCACATATCTAAGCATCATAGAAAACTTACGATTTCTTTATATTTTTTATGTCATTTCTAATCAAAATCAGTCAAAAAATATATATCATTCCAGGCATCAAATTTTTGTTTGTGTTAAGTATTCTTAAGCAGTGATGTTGAAAACTTCAGAAAAAAAAATCTTTCGCCTACCTACCAAATTTTTTTTTTGTCGCATGAGGACAAGCAAACATATTTTTAACGATGGTCTGATTTTTTTTTTTTTAGTTCATTCCCTTTAGCACTAATCAAAAGATATTGAAAAGCAACTTAATCCTCATTTGAGAAAAATTCGGATGCTTCGTGACTGACACCTAATCGTCAATACTCGACTTTGCCAACCGTTATCCTAGTTAGTAACATTATAGTATGAAAAGTATATTTGTTTTAAAAATATATTTTAAAGTGACGAAAAATGATTACATATTCATAATTCTGCGTTTCGTGAATATCTTTTACCTTCAAGTTTATATCTATTTCATTTCATTTACCTTAACCCTTTTCAAATGCACAAGGAAATATTTTCTGTAGCATTTGCCAACAAACTATTTCACCGTTCACATGCTTATACCGTACTTTATGTTTATGTCCATGATATAGCCTATATATTCTTTGTGAATACTAATATTTATGTTGATTTACTAATTTAGTACATATTTGTTATCTATATGCTGATATACTATTTGTGAATGTGCATGTTTCAATGCCTTGATATGCAAATAAATATACTATTTTAGTGTATACGTAAACACTTTTGCAGCATTTAGCGATGTACTATTTTGATATTTTCTTAAACCTTTCTTTCACTTCTTACCGATGTACTATTTCTATGTTTTTGTAAACATACATTGTACTCTTCTTGTGTTTTGTCTAAGCTTTTTGCAACATGCTTTTAAAATAAATAAATTATGTGTTTGCTATTTTGAAGACCACATTTTGTAGCCGTTAGTGGTATACTATTTTTGTTTTTCATTAGCATCATTTATACACGGATATTTATTATATTTTCGTGAACAGTATACCGACATACATGTAATACTTTGATGTGTTCACGAATATCTGATTATTCTGTTTTATTGTGTGTTCGTATGAACAGATTCTAGTCGCTCTATTATTTCTGCAGTTTCCTTTTTCTTTTTTGTGTTATAATGTTTATATAATTAATAATAATAATAAATGTTTATAAAAATATAATTTTGATATATTACCACATATATATGCTACATGTACAGTACTTTACATCGAACAGTAAATTTACCATTATACAAATTAAGTTGATGCTTAGATCTTTGATTTGATATTTGTAGGCTATGTTAATTTACTATTTTGCTGTTTACGTGTACCCCTACCCAGCCACCACTAGTGACCCACGCGCGAACAATAAGGCAGACGAAGGTGGACAGTGTTTGGGATGGTTCATAGCTATTGGACCAATCGTTTTAGGTTTCATTGTTGGTGCTTTTCATGCTGTCTACACCGAAAAAGGCTCATTCAAAGAAGTACTTACATTTTTTTGTGTGGAAAGTTTGATCATATATATGTATATATATATATATATATATATATATATATATATATATATATATATATATATATATATATATATATATATATATATATATAAAATGTCCAATTAGTTTTCAAGTGTAATGGTCCGTAACTTTGAGTTTATTTCGATTGAGTAAATACTTGTCACAATTTTTTTCCTTCTGTTCTGACAAATTAAACTAATGAAAATACCGTTTATCATATTAAAATGGTTTAATTGTATTATCATCCAAGGATCAAGCCTCATCATTTGCGTTTGCATAAGGAAACATCGAAGTACTGAAAGCGCTAACAGTCGAACTCCTGAAAATAATTTAAAACCTACGATCTCATTGGATAAAAAAGAAAAATAAATTAATTAAAATTAAAATTTGGCAACCTCTATAGAGCTTTAGTTTTGTATTTGGAATCAAAACAATATGTCGGTCTTGAAGGACGACTCTGTATACGCAAATACATTTAGTTAGAAATACCCTCCCCCGGAAAAAACAACCAAAAAAAAAAAAAAAAAAAAAAAAAAAAAAATTCAAGTGACATTCGAGTGGTCCGTCAAGAACGTATAGGTCGAGAAGGCGTTCTAAGGTATGCCTGAAATAACATGCTCATGTAACATGTGAACTCCGACTCACGCGTGGAAATAAGTGATATTTTTTCCGAGTAATTTCTAGATAAAACATATTACATTTATTTTAAAAACTATGCAAAATTACGGACAATATCACTTTTTCAAAAACATAGATATATAGTTATAACTTTGTTGCGAATAAAAGTAAATCATTTTATTTCAATATGTAAAGTGAATTGGCGGTTAATTTCTTTATTTCTGTTTAAACGGGATCAATTATTATAATTATACAAGTATGTTAGTTCATTACGATACTTATGAATGAATGTTCCATAGTTTTTTTCTTTAGTATACATATAGCTGAAACAAAGTGATATTTCAACATGTGCTTTATTTTCAGAGGTGCATACGAGCATTGAAATCGGAGAGTTTACAGACAGCAGACAGCAGTTGCGATTACGACATGTATGGGAAAACACCGCACACGTCAACTACAAAATCTAACAGTGACGTCACTCTGTCTAAAATAGACACGGAAGTTGTGGTAAATACCCCTGGTCTGACTTCTGAGTTGGCCAAAGTATGATTTTTTCGGCTTTGATATCAATGTTACATAATCAGAGAATATATACTTGTTATCAGCTTTTATTTTTTCCCTGTACAAATCGTTTATCTCATCAAGCTTTATCATCAAAATAATGAAACATTGGCTTAATTTACGCCATATATGTCAATTATGCGATCGAACTTTCAGATTTGTCTTTTTAATTTTGTGAATTTATTTCAATTTTCAAAACACTAACTGTTTTTCTTTGCTAAAACTACACCCCTTTCATCATAAAACGAAATTTGTTGTTCTTTCTTCAGGAACTTTTTTCTCAGATGAAAAAAAATATGATACATAGAATTTATTAAATTTAAATTATACATTAATACTCACAGTGAAATTATAAATTATGGATATCTTAATTCAAAAGTAATGACAGTTGCCTTTAAAGCGGATCTAGAGTATAGATTTATAAATACGGGTTGCAATTTACGGGTACTTGTACCATATGGTCGAACAATGGCTAATAAAGATGACGTCCTGAAAACAAAGATTTCTTCCAGAACAGAGGAACAATCTTTCAATTAAATTGTTCAAGGTCTAGAGCTGATCATGAGATGTATCCGAGGATTCAAGTGTCCATGAATTTTATGTGAAATCTGCTGTCTTTTTTTTCAATTTAGCTGACAGTTGCGTTGTCTTAAATGCTTATGAATAAAAATAATGGTTTTCATTTTGTTTGTTCTGAATATTTTTTTTACACCTTATACTCTTCAATATGATCGAGTCTGGGCTTAATTTTAGAGGCTCACTAAAACTGGAATTCTTACAAAGTTAATGACCCATTTCTTAAGACAACAGTTTTTTCCCCAAAAATTTGTTAAGTGGTTTTTTCGTTTCGTTAAAATTCTGTTGCTGATGCTGAAAACAAAGTGAATTTGTTTATTCTCTTTTCATGACAACTGGAGTATGGAATAAATTCTGACATCAGGGAGATCTTTTACGAATCGTGTTCAGTTTAAATCAATAACGAGGTAAACAATCGTGCAATATTTTTTCTTTTATAAAATTATGTGTGGAAAATTCATGCCATGGTAAAAAGAAAAGTGGTTATCAGCGTTTATTTTAGATTGAATCCAAAACAATCAGATGATCTTTGTTCGAAAGCCATGCACTTAAACTTTAACCATTGAGCCACGCAATTAATAAAATATTCAAACACGTAATAGCAGGACGGGGGTCTGCTCCTCCATTCACAGTAGTACTGTACTATTAAAAAAAAACTTTCTTGTCGCAGAAAAAGTTGGACCCCCCTCCCCCCTCAATTTTACTTGGATGCCTGGATTGATATTTTTGGATCTATTTTGTTTGTAAATGATGCAAATAACAAATTTCTGAAATATTTAGAAATTGTACACTTTCTATAATGTTCAAAATTCTATCTTTCTACAACCATCCTTATAAATCTAAAAAAAAAATTATTCCTTTAACTGATGCTTCAACTTACAAGGTCTGATGATCTTCGGCTTCACAATTTCTAAGATAGCATCAAAAATAATTTTAACATTAAAACTGTAATTTTTTTTTTCAAAAAGCAAGTCATCAGCTGACAAGAGACAAGGTTTGATTATCCTAGGCATCTTAATTTCAAAGATACAAAGACTCGACCATGAATAATAATAAATGCAAAAGAGGTCACGGTGAACTACATGTACTTTGGGGTCAAAATATCATGAGGTCCTAAGATGCATTACCTTACAAGGTCTGATGATCGTAGGCCTTTTAGTATCAAATATAGAAATTAAATAATTGACAATTTTTGAATAATGATAAAATACGAAATTAGGTCACTTGACTTATTTTTTGGTCAGCATATCCTGAAATCCTAAGTTGCTTCAACTGACAAGGTTTTCTACGCCTCAAAGTATCAAAGATATAGAGATCTGACAATGAATAATTACAAAAGGCAAAAAGTAGGTCACGGTCAGTATTTCCTGAGGTCTTTTAAGATGCTTCAACTGACAAGGTTTGATGATCTTAGGTCTCTTAGCGTCAAAGAATAAACATTTGACGATGAAGAATGATAATCCAAACAGTAGGTCAAAGTGACTTACTTTTAGGTAACATATCTTAAGGTCCTAAGATGCAACTGACAAGGTTTGATTATCCCAGGTCTCTTGGTATAAAAAAGAGGTAATGAATCATGATAACATACAAAAAATAGGTCACGGTGACTTACTTTTGAATAGACACGAGACCCTAAGATGTATCAACTATTAATATTTGTAAACTCTGAAAGTCATAGTGTACTAATCATATAGGTTTAAAGGTTTTTAATTGATTTGCTGTAAAATACAGAAAGTAGGTCACGGTGACCTATTTTAGTTGACACACCCTGAGGTCACAAAATGCATCAACTTTAAAGTTTGACAACTTTTAATATCAAGGTTTGATGATTCTATGTTCAGAAATATTTAGCTCAAATGCTTTGAAAATGAAAAGCTGTATTTCAGAAGGTAGGTCATTGTGATCTACTTCTTTGTCAGGCCCTGAAACTCCAAGATGTATCAACTATTCAGGCTTCACCTTGCCCAAGATAAGCATCTTAAACAATTTGAAAATGAAGAGCTCCAAAATTCAAAAGGTTACAGTGACATACTTTTGGGTCAACTTATTCCAAAGTCTTAAGATAAAACAACTGACAAGATTTAACGATCCTAGTTCTTACAGTGGGCAAAAGATCAAAGTTTTAACAAATGTCATTTTAGGTCAATTCAGAAGTGACCTTGAGATAATGCCCTTTGCCCAAGGGTTATGCCTTAAGCTAAGCAATATTTAATCTACAACGTATCCTTATATATAAGTTTGTGATAAACTGCCTAGTGATTCTTGAGATTTGTTAGCAACCACTACTCGTGTTATTATATCCCCTTGTTTAACAGCCGCATCCCTATTTTCAGTATGAACGAAAGTCCTTGAGATTTGGCTCATATTCCAAAAGGTTTATGCACACCACACAAATGGTCTAGCATTAGCTCTCTGAGCCTTCGCCTCAGAAAAGCTAATAAAGGAGATGGGTGAAGAAGGCGTGCAGAATGCCTATAGCTTCAGATATATAAAAATCATATTCAATTTATGAATTTATTATTTTAGAGTAAAGTTCTCATTATTTAAATATATGAAATTATGATAAACAACACTTTTCTGAGAAAAATTTCCTAGGCAAAATTTGTTCTGTTATATAAAAAAATGATTTGGTATTAGTAGGGTTCGAACCCCTAGCAATTAAGATCTTGAGTATCATTTTTTCTTTGAGACTAACCCACTAACCACTACGCTACAAAACTCCTGATGAGTAATGGCATTTAAATCATATGATTTGACCCTTAACTAAATGGATTTCAAGTATTTCTCGGAAAGATGCGAATGTTGTGTCATAAAAGTATGTTTTTAAGGTATAGTGGGTTACTAGTATTGCTCCATGTTTTTGTTAACCAAAAATTAAAACATTGCTGTGACGTCATGCCTTTGTTCTTCCAGTCTAAAAATTTACCTGTAGGCATTCGATAATAATAATTTTAAAACAGTCCAATAATATAATATCGGACGGCAGTGATAACAAAATCATACAGTAGTTAAAAAACAACAACTAGAGTGAAATCAAGGTTTAATATGTCCAGAAATATATATATATATATATATATATATATATATATATATATATATATATATATATATATATATATATATATATATATATATATATATATAACCAAAAAAAAAATTAGGGAGAAAAAATTCAGGGAAAGTGAACGCGATGAAATTAAGTTGTTAAAAATAGCAAATCCAAGAAGTAACTGGAGTTTTAACCTTCATCAAAAGTAACACTTTCCATTCGGTTTTTTGCAAAGCGTTTTCTATACAGCACTGTGAATAAGCCAGTTTAAATCCATTTCTGATAAAGAACCAGTCTGCGAATCTCTTCATTTAACGAGGTTTGTTCGCCTATGACCGCACTTTTAAAACACAAGATTTTCATTATATCATCCAATCAAAATTTTAGATAAAAATCCGCGTTTTTACTTTAAATGCATTTTGAAGATATCATCCAACACTGTATTTGTATCAATGTCAAACGCACTTAATAAAAAATATTCCGAATCATAAAAAAAAAATCCTTCATCACCTGACCGTCCATAGTTCCTGCTAAGCCAAACGACTGCCATTGAATGAATGAACGAAACAAAAGAGTTCACTCACTGGTTTTACTGTCTAAAGAAAAAAAACTTTCTCTTTTCTTTTGTCTACTTATTAGATGGTTTCAGGAAGAAAACTATTGATGCCTGAACTCCTATTGTGTAATTATCGGACTCCTCCAGGTAACTTTTGGACATTTAAATAGCAATGTTTTAAGTAAGATATATGCCTCATACATTTCTATATGTAAAATTATCAGACTGTTTTCGGCCCTAACGGGCCTCAAACAGTCTGATAAGTTTTCATATAGAACAGTATTCGGCATATATCCATTACATAAATATTTTTATGCAAAGAAGATAGGTGAACATAACGAGCCAAAAGCCTATAGTGTGACAAACATGAAGGTGAAAAATTAAATCTCAATTATATCAAAATTTTCCTTTATATTTCGTCTACAATTAAAATACACTTTATGTAAAATCTCTCCAATTTGCAAAAATCTCACAAAGATTGAAATTATTTGCTTATGAAATATTGTACACACACTTAAGTGGGCAAAAAGAGTCATTTTCTCATACTGTAAAACTATTTTCGATATGAGTGGGTCTTCGCTCCATTTTTTTGGAAGTTAATCCTCGAAGTTTTTGGGTTCCAAAAACTACTATACCTTAAAAATATACTTTTATGACATATCATTCTCATCTTTTCGAGAAATACTTGAAGTCTATTAAGTCAAGGGCCATATCACAAACATGATTTAAATGCCACTGTTTATCAGGACTTGTGTAGTCTAGCGGTTAGCGTGCTAGTCTCGAAAGAAAATGATACTCAGGATTGTTACTGCTAGGGTTTGAACCCCACGGATACCACATTATTTTTTTAATTAAAGAATAAATTTTTCCGAGAAAATTTTCCTCAGAAGTTTTACCATAATTTCATAAATTTCAATAATGAAAACTTTACTCTAAATACTGAATTCATAAATTGAACATGATTTTTATATACTAGTATCTGAAGCTATAGGCTTTCTACACGCTATGTTCGCCCATCTCCTTTGAGGATAAACTTTCAAAAAAAATTGGAGCAAAGACCCATTAATATTGAAAAAATTGTGTAACAGTATGAGAAAATAATCCCTTTTGCCCCTTTAGTGTGTGTATGCTATTTCAAAGGCAAATAATTTCAATCTTTGTGAGATTTTTGCAAATTGTGGAGATTTTACGTAAAGTATACCTTAATGTTAAATGAAATATCAAAGAAAATTTTATAATAATTAAGATTTAATTTTTCACCTTCATGTTTATAGCATTATAGGCATTTTGCTTGCCTTGTTCACCCATCTTCTTTGTGAAACAATCCAATTCTAACACAGGGATGAATCAAAATTAGGTTGATCTCTTGGCCTACTTGTTACATCCTCTCATTGATCAAGATATTTCATAGACATTTCATTCATTTCCTTTAAACATTTGGTGGGTTCAGAAAATTTCTCTAGCACTTAAGTAAATAAAAAGAACAACATACCAAATTACATTTACAGTTTTATTTCTCTCAAAAAGGGATCAAAATGGCAGTTAACACATCCCAAATTATTTTTGTTAAATAGTTTAGGGAAAACAAGCACAATGAATGTAAGATAATGGGGGTTGCACTAAATAATGTAAGAATATGATAATACAAAATGTTCAAAGACAATGATAATGATAATTGTCACAGAACCATCAGCACTACTCCAGGAAATTACATATATTCAAATTATTGAATATTTTTATGTGTAATTTAATGTGAATCTTGTTGTTTTGCTCTAGTGTATAGTGACAATTCTGACAAAAATAATGCACACCATGGAAATTAATCATCTGCTGATAACAGATAAGAACTTACAATGTATATTTAAGAAATAACCAAAAGCTAAATAACTGATTAATAACTGGTATAAAACAGTCTGGTTAAAGGACACAATGGTTCAAAATATTCTGAATTACAAAAAAAGCCATAAATATAAACCACATGATAATATTTGCAATAATTGCAATCACTGCTTATTGCAATAAACAAATTTGGTGTACCATTCACATTTTAAGAACAAAAGGTAAAAAGATAAATCAAAGACTGAAAGTTGCAATGAACAGTTACAAAAACACAATCCTGCAAAAAATAATGCAATGTTCACTTGTACAGTACTTGTATGAGGGAAAAAAAAAAGAAACATTGGGTAAAACAAACATTCTGTTGATAAAGCTGCTTTAACCATCCTGGTACCATTAAAATACCATTTTGTATAATAATTTGTTGTCAAGAGTTAAAACAGTACCATCAGTACATAGAAACAAGGCATAACCACATAAGTAAGGCATATGGCTTCAAATGTATTTTTTGAACAGTCATAAATGCAGTGAAATTTAAGGATAATCAGTACAGTGTGAGCTTTTATTTTATGGTACATATTGTTATATAAGTCACATTAGATTGAAAAAGAGGAAAGAATAATCAGAGTACTTTATGCAACTGACCCCATACAATAATATTTAAGACTTGATATTGAAAATAAATCATTTAGTTATTAAACATTATGTAACAAATACTGGCATTTAAATGTGATATGTCCCTATCCTCTACTTCTCCAATAATTTGAATTTTAATTATTCCAAAAATTCATTTTTAAAAATGCAGTGATTTCTTCCCTAATGTTTTATTCATTCTCCATCAGAATTATTTTTATCCACACATTTTTTATGAATTTTCACAAACATGATCACATTATGATGACCACAATCTAGGACACGCCCATGGATGAAAATTTTAATGTTAATAGTAGTTTACAACTGAATAAATACAACTGAATAAGGATGATGTTGACTGTCATATACACAATATTTCAAAAATACACAAATTAATGACTTTGTTGTATACTTTGTATTAGTGTTAAATTATTGTTCATCGATACTTAAAACTGTAAAATAATTTGCGTCACAAAAGTAAATCAAGCACTATCTTTAAATTATTGAGTTCCTAAAAAAGAGGGGATGTACAATTTCATAGCTTTAAAGGCACATGAAACTGTAGTAATGGCACTTTTTTCTTTATAGCAAATTAAACAATATGAAGATGTTTATGAAATCAGCACTATTCTGATGAACAAAGCCAAACTTTGAAAATCATAAAATACAGGTACATGTAAGTCTTAAACTGTTTGTTATTTAAAGCAGAGAGTTTGTAAATGGACAACTCTTAAGTAAACTTACATCTTGAATGTTCAACAGTTTGAGGGAACATAAAAAATACACATAACAATATTTTTAATCTGATGTATACCCAAAGATATATACATACATGTGTATCTCCCATTCTTATCAAATACTGTCAATTGACAAAAATTCTCTGTCCCCCACAAATCCAAAAATCAAAGAATGACAAACTCAACCAATATGAAAAAGTGAATCCTCTTCATTGTCAGAAAATCTTGTGTACCATTTAGCCAGAATGTACCTATACAAGACCTAAATCACACCATTTTAATACCAGATTAATACATTGAAACTGTCTTTGAGACACAGTGTTTAACACCGTAACATGAAAATACCTACTCTGAACACAAGAAGTCCTCTTTATTGTTAATTTACCAATTGCATTAATGAAAGACATGGTTTCCTGAAAAGGTGCGTCTCTGATATATCACACAGCTTTTTTCTTTTTTTCCTCTGCTAATTTCCGTGCTTGTTGTAGAAGGGAATCAAAGTCTACAGGATCACTCTTCCTTACAAGGGGATAATATTCTTCAATTACCTCATTTTTTCCATCTGTAATTAAAATACATTTATCCATTTCATAACTTTATTTTTAGTTTCTATTACTTAAAATTTTATAAACATTTATTGACGAAATCAAGAATTCATCTATCATTTCTTTACTTTATTAATGGTATCTCCTTGACAAAGGTATAATGAATAAATGCTTTCTGCAACAGGTTCATGTTCTGTAGTCCAGAAACTTGAGAGGGCAAGGGGGAGTCTGTACATCTTTTAATACAGTTTCCTTGTGCTTTTTACAAAACCATCATCAAAAAAGGGATCTGCCACCCTCCTTTCTCTAAATCTGCCTGTGCAGTATACTTCAAACATTTAGTTTTCAAACATCAATCATCAATTCTTACTGAGTTACTTAAATCTGATCGAATTTTTTTCTTGTGGAATCATCATGCATTTCAATGGAGTTCAGTTTTCCTAGATTTTGTGGGTACCCCTTGTACATGAATTAACAACCTCAACAGACATACATAAGGAGAAGATTAGTAAAGAAATTAAAATCCTCATCATAATAAGCCCCTTATGAGTTAATATGATTTCACTGATTATCTGAACAATCATTCTCTCTGCCTTATTCAATTCTGACCTAAATCAGCATATTCCACTTCACAAAACTGTCGTCTGCCTCCAAAACAAAGGTCAAATTCTAGTGCTCCTGGAACCTGGTTTCCTTCTACAACAATACAGTAATATGAACTTTATTATCAATAATAATTCAGGTGCAAATTTTTGTAGTCAGACACCTTATTTAATGAATTTGATAAGATTACATAGCTTTTCACTTACTTTCCACTGCAGCATATGCATCACATGTGTAAGCAAAGGTCACAAATCCATAGTTATCCCTGGGAGAAAAAAAACAAGAATGTTAAAGGCAAATTTTTTTTGCTGAACAATGAAAACCTCACAATCACTCACAAATTTTGACTGATATTGTGGCTATCAATAAAATGAACAGTGAGTATCAGCTAGGAATGAAAGACATTTGTAAAGTCTTCACATGAATCTGATGAACTATGATCTCATCATATACACCACTGCTTCATGTCAGAACAAGACAAGCAAAATCAGTAAAGGTTTTAATTAACTCACCCACACTCCCTGAAATGGACACTAACTTCTTCTATTTCTCCAAAACACTCAAATCTCTTCCTCAACTGTCTTTTAGTGTAGTTGTTTGGAATTTTTCCGACATAAATGATTCTTCTGTCTTTCTGTGTAGAAAAATTACCATTTGAATGATTTTTTTTGCTCTTAACAAAACTTCATATCTTTAAGGAACTTAATGTAACTTGTTTTCTTCAATAGTTTATTACTGTGATGTTCTACACATAAATGCAAGTAAAATCAAAGGGTTATAAGAAAAACAACTATAAAATGTATTAACATCTGTACAAAAGAAACAAATCTTGCTTTCTTTAAAGTTCTTGATTTATGATAAATCTAATAGTTTTATTATTTATCTGTCTCACCATTTTTTGAGCCCTCTCCTCCTCCCTATGTTTCTGGCGTTCTGCCAACCGTCTCTCGTGTGACGAGCTTCGACTTCTACTTCTGTACCCCCTGTGTCTGCTGTAGCTTCTACTTCGACTTCTAGACCTGTAATGTCAATAAAAAAAAACTTAAAATGACGAATTCTGGACAATTATGCTTATTTTTATCCTAAATAAACCTCGAATGTCCTGATTTCCATTACCTAACATTATAATTAAATTACCTGCTAGAAACAGATGAAGACCTAGATCTCGAGCTGTATGACCCAGATCTTGACCGTGAGTATGACCTAGATCTTGAACGAGATGACCTACAATTGGTAAAAATACATACATGCATAAATTAATTATACACATTGATTTTCATTCTTTTTTTTTTAAATTTCAATAAACAGTGAGTATCAGCTAGGAACGAAAGACATTTGTGAAGTCTTCACATGAATCTGATGAACTATGATCTCATCACATACACCACTGTCAGTTTTCTTTAATTTGAAAGTCTAACTATAGCAGATCCACAAATATTTATAAATATGATAAAAAACTATTAGAAATTAAAAAGCTACAAAGGAACTAAAACTATACCTTGAGTATGAAGATCCGTATGACCTGGATCGAGATCTGGATACAATGGAATCATAAGTACCACTTCGTCTCCTCCTCCTTCCTCTTCTGTCACAATCCCTTGACCTTGACCTACTTGAATTTCTACTGACTGACCTTGAACTTGATCTTTGGCTCATGTAGGGAGATCGGCTCCTACTTGAGTATCCACTGCTTGACTTGCTTTCCAAGGAGACATCGTTGTTGTCATATTTGGTACTGTTTGTGAAACAGCTATGATAAGCTGGCAGTCTACTGTAGACTGAGTTGTCTCCCTGAGGAATGGGATTAGGTTCAAAGAAGTCCTGAATAGTAATGCCTCCATTGCTATCTTCTTTTGGAGCGATATTTTCCTTTTTAGATTTAGATTGTTTGACACCATTCAGTGACAAGGCTGTGTAGTAGGACGGAATTTTGTCGAAGAATTTATCATCTTCCTTACCAAATGGACTCTCCTCTCTCTTTCTATAGTTCCTGCCACTAAATTTCTGTCCTTTCTGTTGTGAATCACTTAACTTATTCGAGACATTATCCTTAGCAATGGCAACATTTTGTTTATTTTTTAAATCATCCCTGGTGGTATTTGTTGAGTTTTTATCTTTTTCAATCTCTACATCATCAAATTCATCTATAATCTCTCCATCTTCCAAGTCCAGAATATCACCCGGATGACAATTTACACCTGTCTGTGCTTTGTTGCCCTCTAATTTGGGTACATTCTGACAGTAGTCATGATCCAAGATATCTCTGTAGTAATTTTTATTAACAGAAGTCTTCTCTTCTGCCAGAATGTCAGAGGCAGTGCATGGTGGCTGTTTCTTCGGGGAATACTTTTCCATAGACTCCAGAATAGATTGACTCACCTCTGTCGAGGACTTCTGTAGTATTCGTTGCAGCCTTGGAGTGGTGCTGGTAGGTTTTAAAGCAATGGCCTGGCCACGCCCTCTTTTTGAGGGCATTCCCATTGGCAAAAGTATCACTGACTTCCTTTTATTTGAAGCTTTGATCTTCAGCAGTACATCCTTGCTATTAGATTTTTCTGGGGGTGCTGACTCTACCAATTTTTCAGTGGCTTTTGTTTCACTACAAATACAATGTAATTTTTACTTTAACCATGTGCATGTATTTCAATATAATTCAACCAACATTAAACTTATTTACTAAAGTCCCATGGGCCACAACGCTCACCTGAGTCACCTTGGATCTGCTTTCTTCATCAGAGAATTTGAATCCACATTGTGGCCCAAACCTTTCTTTAATTGGCTATAAAATAAATGACCCTGAATCCACAGTGTTTGGAAGTTTCAATAGGAGTAGGACTAACATGACCCTGCTGTTTTCAAGAAAAGGATTTAAAAAAAAAAAAAAAAGAAAATTTCTTTACTTGTATCCAAGGGTCAATAATTCAGGGAAAAACTGAATTAACATTACCCAGAATGTTTTGATTGAACATTGGGATCAATCCTACAGTGTCTAAAGGTCTTCGTGAAAGGGTCACCTGAACAAGAAATACGCACAAGATTTTTTTCTTAAGGAGCAATTTTTCTCTCCTTTCCTCCTTTCTTTTTCACTGTCACCTTTTACCAAGTTTTTCTTTCTTATGACACCTAGATTGTTTATCTGCCTAATTAACGGAATGTTTACCTTCCAGTTAAGTGGAACCTATACCAGCTAGTGTGGTGAAGTGTCATAAATCCGAAAAACACGAAACCCATACTGCCTGTCTATATCTGAGTATCTATAAAATTAGAACAAAGGCAGAGCTTTGTAATTACAAGAACCAATAAGTACAACTTCCTCTTACAATCCATTCCAAATATGTGATGAAATCCTCCCCTGGGGCTTAGCACATGGGGTCAGAATCTCTCTTTTTAGCCATTATGCATTTTTACACTTCAGAAAGAATATATTTATGATCTTTTTGTTTGTCAAAAGAATTTTAATAAGATTTTTCATATATATTCCAATTTTAAACTTTAAATGATCTTGAATTGTGCCCTCACCATATCCCTATTGGTCAGGATTTAAACAAATGGAATCTACCTGAGGATGTTTGCATATCATCATAATGACTACTCATGGCCCTGCTGTTCTTCATCAGCAGATTTTAAAGATTTTTTTTCTATATATTCCCATATAAAACTCTGATCTCCTATTGTGGTTCCATTCTATCCCTAGAGGGCCATGATTTGAACAAAAATGATTCTATACTTTATCAGGATGCTTTCATATATATAAGTTTCATATTTTCTGGCCCAGTGGTTCTGGAGAGGATTTTTGAAAGATGTCACATAATTTTCATGAATTCTAAATTATCTCTCCTTGAAAGAGGGCATAGCACTTCAACTGAACAACTTGAATCCCTTTCACCTAAGGATGCCTTGTGACAAGTTACGTTGAAATTAGCCCAGTAGTTCAGGAGGAGAAGTCAAAAAAGTTAAATGTTTACAGATGGATGCTGGACAAAATGTGATCCCTGATCAGAAAAGGTCACTTGAACTTTCGGCTCAGGTAAGCTAATAAGAAATTAATCAAGTTCTGGTTTTACTTTTTATGGTTCTTAAAAGAATTATAACTTACTTGCTCATTTTCAGATCTTCAAAACCAGTTAAAGAATTTGATGCTGAAATGAGGATTAAACATACATAAAAGTTAAACAAAATGGAGAAGACATGAATAATTGGAAAATAAAATTAAATGTTTATGGTTAATACCTTCTTCAAACTGTTCCAGTAGACTTCCAACATCAGCAGCTTCTATACCTACTGAATCATTATCTAAAAATTAAAAAAATTTATACAAACATGGCTGACAAACTGAAAAAGAACATAAGCATGATTTTAAAAAATCAGCATGCCATTGGACATAAATTTTAAAATTAGAACTAGGAAATATTTGTTTACAGTTGCATATTACAAGGACCATTGTCTCACTCTGAATGTCCAAATATCTGTATTTACAAACATCATTTTGGGAGTTGGGTTTTAAATAAGTGTGAAGTGCTTCCTTTGTATAAATATTTTAAATCAACATAATTATGAAAGATCTTTTAAATTATTTTTCAACAAAAATCAAATGATCAAAAACTGTGTTTATGCCTCTTTAAGCAATACTGAATTTCGTATGTGCTTGTCATTTTTCTCGACTAAGAAGTAGGAATAATTGTGTGATAGTTAAATAATTTACTGAACCATTTAATAAACACACATATAGCATCTCCTGTACATTCAACTATACTCACAAGTTGTTAGGTCAGGCATATCAAAATTCAGCGGTAATTCTGCAGGGTTAAACTCATCAAACTCTGCCAATGACACAACAGAAGTTATGTCTGGATCTAGATCCATCTTGAAGGTGAACTGTTCTCAATTATTATCTACAAAGACATGAATGGCACATGTACATTTCACTAAAAATTCATTAAACATCAATAAATATATTGGTTGCCTCAGTTCTGAAGTGGACTGAAATTAATACATCTTTACTAGTGACAGAAAAAAAAAATCCCACTTATTCAAAATGCCTTGGTTTTTTTCTTCATGTCAATGCATTTGACTTTAGGTTCTTAACTCTCAGTCACACTTGGAATGAATTGTAATCTCAATATTTGTATGATGAATGGTACAACCTACTTTCGACTGAGATTTGGCTTATTTGGACTAATGCTTTCATAGAAATCTTGAGACAGTGCTTCATAATTTATGTCTGGAAATTCACACTCATCTTTGGCCAGATTTAGCTATTGATATTATAATAGCCCATCTGGGGTATAATATCCCAAATGGGATATACATTTACAGTGCCACAAATGAAAATTTTTATTTTGGCTAAAAATATCATAAATCTGCATCAAAATTCTTTTGCAAATATTTTGATATATTTGGATAGGAATAACTTGGTAAACAAGTTTTTCTGTATGCCCACTATTTAAGAGATTAATCTCTTGGAAGTTCCTAAACTTCTTGGGGATCAATCTATCAAACTGTAGGGTTGCAGAAAAACTAGCTTGCCAAAAGTTATTCCTTTTCAAGTATTTTGATGTGGATATATGATATAAAATTTACAGCCAAAATAAAAATTTTCATTTTTTGCACTGTAACTTTATATCCCATTTGGGATATTATATCCCAGACAGGTTATTATATCCCATATGGGCGATTGGTCCCAACCTGCTTGAAAGTTCATCTTAAGATGAATAAAACAATATTAATTGTCTTTGAATCATAGACATGTGTTTTCACTACTTACTCATAGAAATATACTAATAATCATAATAATTAATCATAAATATTAGCCGTAAATAAAACTCCTATTATTCTGCTCATAAATAAATAGATCTAGACTTACACTAATGAAATCTTGAATAAAACAATGGGCGAGGCCACCACGTGGACCTCGTGTGTGTGGTACCTTTTTAACACTTTTTATAACTGAATTAATTTATAACAGCATTAAATATTATTAATGAAACACTTAAAAATATTTCATTCGGGATTGTTATAATGGAATGACAAGACAACATTAAATAACATCGTTCCGTATTTCTTTCCACGTGGTGGAATGACACATTTATTGTTCTAGGTGTGAATAGTTGTTCCGCGTAATTGACGTCAAAATTGCTAATAAATAAATCATCACCAGTAAATAATAATTATTCTGAAATGGTACCATATCACATAATAGATATTTTCTAAAATAATAACCTGTGATTCATTATATTCTTTAACACTTCTCTTTTACCTACCGTTCACCCAAGTTTCCCGAGAAAAAATGACGTCAATGATCTCGTGCACTCTCGCAGATTTCGTGATCTCTCCATTAGCAACATGGGACGCTAATATATATTCATACGCAAAAAATAACAGAGCTTAAAATATTTGACAAGCACCGTTGACATTTTTTGTAGTGTTCATAAAAATATTTGCTATACTCTAAATACATATTGCACATAAAAAGTCGAATTAATATTTATTTTCTATTTATTTGTGTTCTTGCTTTAGGGTGCGTAATAACATCCTTCTGAGTTCCAAGGCATCAAATTTCAGATTTCAGAGAGATGGTATTGCGATTTTTTCGAAATTAGTGTATTTATTTTAGTTTTTGAATTATTGACAATGGCTGACCCTGTTTCTTTAAGCTTACCGGCTTTGTCATCAACAAACAGTTTAGTAAGATACAAAGGAATTCCTAGAAGATACGAGGAAACAAGACCAGTCTTTATCCAAGGAAACACTCATCGAAAGATTATAGGTTCATGAAATTCTTACTGTATTTTAAACTAAATGTTTCTCGATGAGGAATCCAGAATGTGTTTATTATGGTTCAAGCATACGTATTTAGTAATATATATATATATATATATATATATATATATAGTTTTGTGCCGTGCGGATTGTGGGATATTTTGTGTCTTTTTCACTCACGTTGTGGGTATCATGGATGGTTTATGGGTCATTATATATTGACCCACAAACCATGTGCCTAAAAATTTGTTTATGACAATAATATAGCTACTATTTTCATTTTTTACAAAAAAAATTTTTTTGACCCATAATTACACACTCAAGAAATGACCCACAATGCAATTATATATATATGAAATCTTACCACTCTGTGGATTGGCAGAATTTCGCGCGTGACCCATTGTGGGGTCATTTTATATACTTTCCCATGAGTATTGCAGGGATGATTGGGAACAGCTAGATTTTATAGCCTAATTGCAGTGAATCATTATCAGATTGTAACGCATTTTTTATTTACATGTATGTCATGCCATGTATGAGCTTTTGTTTTTAATGCACTACGTTGTATAAATCTACAAAAAAATAAGGGTAATTAATTTTATAATTTTTAATCGTACCGGCAATAGTTGTGTTCTTCCTAAAGTTTATATAGACCTATCTAAATATAAATTCTTATTCAGATATGAAAAAAAGCTTCAAGTATATCATTTTATAGGAAAAATGACTTTAAAATGTTACTATAAAGAAGGTGCGTTATGATGTGAACCGTGGAGTTTCAGTAATAAATATCACGCGTTAAGATTTTAGGGAAGTGTAATCAAATCAACAACGATTTTAACATTTTATAGATGGAAAAGTACATATCCTACGATGTTCTTTATATCAATATATTGACCCAGAATGATGTATAGTTGCCTGTACTTTGATCCCATAATATTCTATATCTATAGGGAGGTCAACATTATCGCTACATTGCGAAAAATTTCAACTCATTACCACAACATTCCGTCGAAATTTCGGGTGATCATTACCGCTACATTTTATCAATAAAACTATTGCCGATTACAACTCATTACCGCTACATATCAAATCAGCCAGCAATGGCACAGAATATAAGTTCTATTTACTATAATTCATTAAAGCGATTTCCTGGAGTACATCAAGGAAATGGTTTCCAAAGCTCTTCTAGTTATTGTGTGTATATCCATGAAAAATGCTCGGTTTTAACACTTTCTAAAATTTTATGAAATGAAATAGATTTTAAAAGTTAAAAAAGTCCTACTAAAAGTATTACTTTCATCTTCCGATGATTGGCAGGGAAAACAGGAGGTCGTAACATAAAGCTTGCAAAGTACTACTTAAGTAAGTTTTAACCCGTAACAAAAAACGGACTTAGCTAGGTCTTAGCTTAGTCAAACTTATGTTCAAAATATTTGTTATGAATCATCTTAGTTTTTCAATTTATCTATATATATTAGTAAAAATGATTTAGTTACGTTTTTAATCGCATATATATTAAAGTTGACGTCCTTACCTATCGGTTTTAGCTAGGTTAGATTAGATTTCGTATTTAATTAAAGTTAATTTTGTTTAAATTATTCGAAATGTTTGAAAACAAATATTGCACGGTCACAACGTGGCATTAGTGGTTCATTGTTAATGCGTGAATATTATTTATCACTCGAGACTGCGATGTTTTCAGTTTACCGTTTGTTGTTATTATTTCGTTTGACAAATGTTCACTTGCTTTCAAATTGTCATTCTCGCACACAAAAAAGGAAAAGAATTGTTCTCGGAAAATAATTTTTCGTATATCTCCAACTTACATGTATCAACAACTCTCTCTCTCTCTCTCTCTCTCTCTCTCTCTCTCTCTCTCGAACGTTAACGGTAGTGAACCCTGTCTGAATCCTCGCTACATTCAATCTAATTTACAGAAAATCTTTATCAGCTTTCTCGTCATCATCCTTTAATTCGCCGACAATTTTTAAAATCATTTCATCTCATTTTTTCACAGTGAACAAACAAATCCATGATTACTGTATACAATTTACTTATAATGATTAGTGTTTATAACCTAGGTCCCACTAATGTTTCAAACGTATCCCAAAAATAATATTTTGCATATACATGTATATGTCATTTGGAGAGTGACATTGGAATCAGTGATGAATCCCCCCCCCCCCGACGAAAAACTAAAATTCTTATACCAGTATATTGAAATATAGAAAATTAATTTTTTAATGCATAATATAAATAGAGGGATGTTTTAACATATAAAGTCAACCTTAAATAGTTCTCAATATATGTTTAAGAAATTTAAGTTAAGACATACTTAAGTCACCTCTACAGGCCGCCTAAGTTTTACTAAGATTGTCAAATCTTAGCACGTTTCTAGTTACGGTTTTAAGTTTAAGACTGTACTTAAGTCCTACTTAAGCATGGTCTTAGACTTCAGTACCCTTTATGTTACGACCCCCAGGTCTTATCTATGTATATGTTGTACTTTAAATCATAAGCCGCTGGCTAACGAAAGAGGCAATGCAGAGGTAATGTATACTTTTAAATGTAGCGGTAATTTAACCTTTTTTGTAGCGGTAATGAGTATGTAGCGGTAATGACAATTTTGAAAATGAAGCGGTAATGATACGCACCCTATCTATATATAAATGACCCATAATTATCCGATACATGCATTATAACCTGCCCATAGGATGAACCTCTGCCATTTAGTCAATTGAATTGTCACCGAAAGGTTTGGAAAGGTGACCACCTCGCAGTTTATAAAGCGTAAACTGCCTAAACCCAGTTTATACCTACAAACTGGGTAGCTATAAAATTCATTCCTAAAATATCTTGATACTTATATACTGACCCACAACAATATACTCGCTTCTGTACATTGATCCCGCAATATTATTTATATACAAATTAATGACCCACAATTATATCATACATACCTAAATATTAAATCATATAAATTAATTAAAAAATAGATCATTAACGACATAAAATGTTTTATATTTTAAAGTAAAAGGGCGAGTCATGATGTTGGATTAAGAAATATACGCTTGTTTTTATGTGTAAAGAGTTCTTCAGCATCTGACCAGATATTTGTTTTGTAAGACATAAACACAGCGGTTTTTAATCAATGGAAAGTTTTGCACAAAAAAAACAAAAAAACAAAAAAAAAAAAACAAAAAAAAAAACAAAAAAAAAAAAAAAACTCTCGCACCCATTATCTGCTAAGGTTTTTGCTTATAAGATACATTGCTTTTAGTCAAAGGGGCTTAGTTTTGGGATAGTGTAATTTGTGATTTGTGTGTTTGAATTCATTAATTATATTAAAAATCGGAAATCACTGAAATCCAGTTTTTTTTTAAATGATATTTTAAACAAGGGATGACACTCGAAATCTTGAACACATGGGAGTGCCTCGGTTCACACTATACATAGGCGTCGGAAGGGGGGGGCTATAGGGGGCTTAGCCCCCCACCCCCCACATTTTTGGCAAGATATACATATTATAGGCATTGAAAACTGTGGCTTAGCTTTTTTTTTTGTTTAGCCCCCCCCCCCCCCCATCTACTCCAATTATAGCCCCCAACTTTCAATTTGCTTCCGACGCCTAGATGCTAATGATTTTATTCTATTCACTGTATACACTTTTCCTACCGGAGTTGGGTGAGATTTAACTTCCGAAATAATTAAATAATTCCAGTCTATTATCTGCCTATTGTCGTATGCTGTATAAAGCACGCAGTGGATCAAAACGTCCTCGATACCCAGCACTGAGAAGTGAAAATTTCTAACTAAAATTGAAGAGGACTCCTGGAATTGCCTAGAAAGGACAGAAGCCACTCCAAACTTGTTCTCTTTAGACTTTCCCTGCAATTTTGGAGCACCTTTTTTACTGCAAATTTCAGTGATTTTCAATTTTTATTATAATGAGTAAATATAGAAAGACAGAAACACATACAATACACAAAATACACTATCCTGAAACCGCTGTTACTTGCATCATTGTTATTCAAACCCAACACTTCACGAAAACAGACGTCGAAATGATCCACGGGCCCGTTTCATAAAACGTTGTAGGTATTGGACAAATTGAGTCTACTTCCGGGAATAGTCGGGCGTATTTTGCGTTTCACGAAGCGGCGTATACCTAGTCGTATTTAAGTCTGGAACGCAGCATTGCACATGCACAAAAAATGTTTACAACATACCAACTGATTAAACTCCAAAATTAAAGGTCTGAGAAAAAGAAATAAAAGTTCTTGTAAATGAATGAGGAAATTATTTATTTTAGAATATTTACAAGTGTTGTCAAATCGGACGATTTTTAGTAACCGGTTATTACTCGCTTACTTTTCCGATCGAGTAACCGATTACTCGAATGGATTTTCTTTAAACCTAAAATATTTTTGTTCGCGGTATATATACTTCAGAAGTTACTATAATATACATTGCATAACGTCGTTACAGTTTCTATATTTATCTCATCATTTGACTTGTATATACAAAACACAGATGCACCAGTCTGCATATGAATTTTGTTTATAATTACAAACACACAATATCCTCTTAATAAATTCGTTCTCGAATACGTAATAAATGGTTTCTTTTTTAGGAATGTCCTTTTCATAACTGATTTCAGAGTTAAATTCAGTTTGAAGTGGTTATGCATATTTGTTGTCCCATCCGTATAATGTTAACGTATTACATTTGGCTGTGTATTCTTTTTAGCAGCTTTGGCGGAACGCTAAATCAAATATACGCTAACTTATTCAAAAATCCATTTCCGCCAAACATCGTACACGCTAAATATAATTTACAGTATGTTAATTCCATTTCACATATTTTACACCTCACGGATGTTATTTCAGTCATTCTTTTAAAATATTTCCATACTTTTGATGCATATGGCGGCATCTTCTTTAATCTTGTAATGAAGACAAGCATAAGTTTATGTGAGGTAATAATAATTAACTCAAGCTCTCAGAA